GAGAACTATATATTTATTGATTTTTATTTCTAGGTCATTTATGACCATAGGAAAGATTATAACATTGGTATCGTCGATATAGGTTACTAATTGAATATCATTTACAATATTTTGTATATAATCAATAAAACCATTGACAAATAAAATGAAAAATATTGGGCCCAACACAGAGCCTTGTGGTACGCCCCTCTTTATAATAATCAGTTTTGATGTATATAATATCTCCAGGACATTTTCTATATTTCTTATTTCAACATGTTGTGTTAAATAGTTTTAGTTTTTGTCATCGTATACCGCAATAGTGTAGTTTGCTTAAGAGTATTTCATGACCAACTGTATCAAATGTAGAGCCTAAATCCAAATAATGCCCTGCTAACCTTTTTTTGCTATTAATCTTATCCAAAACATCATCTATGAGTGTATCTATAGCTTCTGCGGTGCTTGTCATTTTGGTACTCAAACTACCTCTCGTTCAGTATATGATTTGATGCTATATGCTGAAGGAGTCTAATTTTTATCAGCTTTTAAAATATTTTGGAAAGAGTTGGTAAAAACGAAATGGATCTATAATTTTTGGGATAAAATTTGGAGTCTTTTTTATGAATTAGTATTACACGCCCTATCTTTAGTTGAGCGAGAAAAATGCCTTCTGACAAGTGTTATTAAAATGAGCTAGTGGTTCCGCTAAAAGCTCAATATTTTCTTTATTAATAGATATTAAATTGTCATCATACCAAAAAGATTTTTTTCTACTTCATATCTTTATTACCCAACTGATTACTGTTTTTTAAACATTTCTTTAAAATAGGTTATAAGCGACAGTCCATTATACAAAGGATGTATGGCTGAAGAAACAATTGGTCATGTGCTGATGAATAATGCAACCGACTAAATTGTGAGGGACCCGAGATCACCGGAATCTTTTCCTGATTTCAGTAGAAATATAAGTCAACTTCTGACCTTTTGGCACATTTTATGTTGATTGGACTGAACACACTCACACGTACAATGCTCCAGTTACAAAAATAACTTCAGAAATGTCCATATATACTAACTGAAGATTACAAAGTTAATTAAGTGCATTATCATATGTTACAAAAATATACTGTCACAATAAAACATTGTATACAATACTCTGATGGGTTTAATGAACTTATTAATTCCTTTATTATATCAACGGACCATTGATCATAGTTGGTGTGTAATGGACTCATTTAACATGGCAAAGATAACATTATCGACCGTTACAAGTCGTTAGTGAATAAGTAGTGTTCTCTTCAGATGTGTGATACAATTACTTGTGCATTTATTATAAACTATAATGGGATAAGTAGGAGTCTTTCATGTATTACTTATTGGGGTCAACAGTTCAGCTGATATCTAACTTATTACCAATATAATAAAATTGTTACTAGTGTATGTCTGTAAAAAAATTGTCGTGAGGAGCTGTAGAATCCAAAACAATAAATTATAGAATCGTGTCTGTATGTTTGTATGCTTGTTCTGGCATCACGCATAAACTTCTGTACGATATTGGATGCGGTTTTTAAGGTTGTATTACTTGAGTTATTTTGTTATCTTATACTTGTATCACGGTTGTAAGAGCTAACATAAAAATTTATTTTGATACGCCATTTAAAATTGATGAGCGAGGTGAATAGCTAGTGTCTAATAAAAATATACTTACTAATCGCTTTAAAGAGTTGGAGATTACTGGCATTAGTTTACCATTACCATATCCAAAATGGCTATTAAATGTCATAAGACACCAAAAGATATTTTGGATCTATCTTTTAAGAAATATTAAAATGTCATTAAGGAATACTCATTGAGTAAAGCTTATTACACATTAAATTATTACTTGGATAACAAATGTGCATGGTATTAGTTGATTATGCACAGGCTTTCGAATCACCATGTTATTTAAGACATAGGCATTTAAATAAATGCACAAAATGTTAAAAGAGATTTAAAAGATTAATTGTTTTTTGAGAGTTCTCCTCAACAGATAACAACGTTCCAAGCCCAGTATAAAAACATAAAAGATGACAATGAAAAAAACCTTATAAACAAGTCTATAATTGCATAAAGATTTCAATTCTGTTCAAATGATTTTTTTTTGAATGGATGATAATGGAATGGTAACCCCACCCGAACTATCGGTATACACCGGCGGGGCACCTGTGAAGGATGATAGATGAGGATGAAGTAGGTCAGTTAGCCCATCGTGACGAATTCAACAAGAGTTGTTCACGATGGTTTCCAGGGGGGACCACATAGAGGTCGACCTAATAAGGCATATTGCTAGCAATGGGGCTGTCAAACTCCATTGCTAACAATCCCTTTCCCCCCTGTTCAAATGATTAAAATATTGTAACAACATCATGTGGGCAGTTCATTGCTATATCTTATTCTTCAAACTAAAACGGCCATGTAGGCATGGTTGAAAAAGAGGTAAGGTGGAAAAAATTTTTGGGCAAAGTCTCTTTAGAAATGATGTATGGAGAAAAAATATATAAACACCGCATAAATGACTGAAAATGTCCTATAAAAAATAAATTATTATGACAAACTTTGTGGCAAATTGGTGAGCACATCTGCTTTGCATAAATGAGGTTCTGGTTCAATTCCTCGTCTGACCTAATTAGGAAAATAGCTCAAGTCTCGGTACCCAGTGCCTCATAACAAGCTAGGCTTGAGAACCGTGGAATTAGTTTGATTTTGTACTATTATTTTTATTTATTTTTTTAATTTCAACTGACTGACTACAGATCAGCCTCATACAGCCATATTTTTTTACATATAAAATTATGACAGAACTAAATGACAACATATACATTTTACCAACTTAGTAGAAAAATAAAGTTGCATGGTAAACAATCTGTTTAATGGCTCACAATAGCATCTTTCTGCAACCAAGTAATGCAAACTAGAGGATTGTATATCTACATCACATGCTCAGCAATTATTTATAAATACCTAGATTAAGACAATAAAATCATCGCAATTCTATACTAATATTATGAAGAGGAAAAAATTTGAATTTTTGCATGTTTTTTTGTTTGTAATGGATAAATTCAAAAACTACTTAACCAATTATAAAAATTCATTCACCTATAGAAAGCTAGATTACAAACAAATAACCAAGATTATATATTATTTTTTAAAAATTAGAGATACATAATAAAATTACAATAATATGACCCAAGGTATCAATAATTTGTGTATTAAAGCTAATATAAAATACAAAACGATCTTTCTATTCATCTACCTGTGTGAAACCAGAGTGGTTCGCTACTACCAATAGTTTGTAAAAATTGCCACTACACTAAAGAACAATTTTTTTTAGATTTGAAACATTAAATTTACTGTTTCTAAGTGACCGTCAGAGAAATTAAATGATGTTAGTAATATAGACTATCAGTCCCATAGCTAGCAGTATACCCTGTCAGGTAGACATCCACATGGTTCTGCCTAAAACCATTATACAAAATTACGGATGTATTCATTATGTTGGGCTATTGTTATTATTGAAATACGGCCTTTTCTCAGGCAGAAAATTCTGTGACACTGCAACTTTTCCAGGATCTTTTGTGCTCATTCTTTTTTAAAGTTCATTGCTAATTCCTATCATAGATGTTATTGTAGCAACAGTGTTTTTATCTCCTCAAAATATAATATGTATTCCAAAGGAGATATATCTTTATGTAGGAGTGGGCTATAGCCACACATTAAGTGCCAAGGCATTTCTTCCTCATTGTGATAATATCACTTTATAGACACAAGCCTAGTTGAGCAATATACTTGTTTAGTTTGCAGTGTCCAGTGAGAATCCTTATTAATACACACATATTATTTTTACTCAAAAGATTTAATTTCTTTGAGTAATTTTTTAAAAACCCCTTATTTTTATTTAATTATTCACTGCTTCTAAGCTTTCAAGTTGAAGGTGCCTGAGCTTTAGGCTTTGAGGTATGTCACAATAAGGTTCTGATCTTATTTGGGCATTCTTTGCCCCTTCTTTTGCTAATTGGTCAGTTATTTCATTTACATGAATATTTGAGTGATCCATATCAAGATAAGGTTATTTCTGCCGCCTAAGTCATTTAATAACATTATGCAGTTGTTTATAAGTTTTGATTTCATTTCGCATGAGTCAAGGGCAAGTAATACTGCTTGATTATGCGAGTAAATAAATATTATGTACGTAGTTAGAACTTAGATTTAGTTCTACAAATTTTATTACGCCACTGTCTGCCTAAGATGCAAGATCACACAATAAATACGCATACATAAATCTATTTATAGTTCCAAAAAACCCAATAGGTATTCCAAAAGCAAATGTTTATTTTTTTTCCGAAGAAAATTTGGAATAGTACTAAAGTAAAATTATAAAAATGGTAGCTATGAATAAGCAAAGGGAAAAAAGAAGGCATGCATGGTTTTGTTTCTATTGAGTACATATCTACATACATTATTATTATTGAAATATAATTCTTACATCTCAAATAAAAAACAAACTTACAGAGACAATATAAGAGTTACAAATTTTTTTTTGGATTCTAAAACAATTGCATTGTATATACAGGTATCTAATAGTGGTGTAGATTTTGAAGATTTCATATTTTATTATATAGGTGGTCATGTATTTTACTTATTTTAGAGATATATTTAAACTATATAAACTTTACAATATTTTTTGACAGATGCGAGATCACACAATAAATACGCATACATAAATCTATTCATAGTTCCAAAGAACCCAATAGGTATTCTAAAAGCAAGAGAACAATGACCTACAAATGTTTTTTTTCCGAAGTTGACCGCTGTTTTCCCGTGAAACAACAAGTTTCATCCTCGGCTTTAGGTACCGTTACTAGAAATAAATGTTGCGAAATACGTCAACGCAATGTAAATTTTTAGATGTAATTTGCATTTAGCATTTAAGAAATATCTTTAAAGTAGACGATTTTGTTTTTAATACGTGGGACAGTACTTACCATTACTCCGGTACATCAAACAGGTCACAAATATAAAAGCAATTAAGAAAGATCTCGAAACGAAGTTCACTTGTAAGAAATCCATTTTTGCACTGAACAATGAATTATAAATAAATTTTCCTCCGTTAGCTAATATTGAATAACGTCATTTATTCAACTGTATGGGCCGCGGATGGAACGCACACACGACGAAGAGAAACGAATGAGAACAATATAGTAGTCGTGTCAGAGAGTTACAGAGTAATAAACAATAAAGCCAACCGTATCCTTTCCACGCTGGCGCCCTTTGACTTTGTTATTATTCATTCAGCGTATCGCTCGCTGCTTCTTACATACGTCATACCTAATTAAATTCAGTCACATTATATTATAGTCCCGAATCTTTATAGTCACAGCGCCATACAGTTTATTTAAATGATGATGATGAGAATGAGATAAATTAGTTGCACATTTTGGATATTTTCATATGGATATTTTCATCATTTGGATATTTTTGTTAGACCATTGTCAACGCAATACCGCTTGGCCATCTTGCAGGTACTAAGAACTCCAAGTACTGCCCTTAATCTATGTGCTTGGCCAAACAAATCTTTTAAAAATTGCTAATGAGATTTAAAAGGTTTTATGTTTTATAAACACGTGAAATTTTTCATGGTGAAAAGATGTTTGGATAGTTATAAATATAATTTAGTCTTACAAATAGCCGTAGATAAATGTTTTACTTAAAGCCTTTTAACATTTCCAATGTTCTTTGACACATATATAAATAATTTCATAAAGGCAATCCAGTGTAGATATGATGATAATGATAATGATAGAAAACAGCATTTTTTTCCTATGCAAATAATTTACTTAGGTTCAAGATCATCGACTTTACGATAAGTTTATATGGTTAACTAAAAGGGTTTTTAATTTGTAACAGTTGTTTAAACAGGGAATATAATATGTTCACCGCTGTAATGGAAAATTTAATTAAGAAATTAAACATTTTAAATGAGTGACTGAGCAATGGCGAAATCATTCTATTCTCATCTTTTCAACAAGTGAATTTATGAGAGCAGAGGAGACAGAAAGTAAAGGACTTATATTCCATTTGCAATAATTCTTTGGCATCTGCGGTTGAACTTTTATTGACAGAAAATATTAGCAGTTAGCAGCTATCAGCTGTGTTTAGTTTTGATAATATAATTCTTGTAGATATAATAAAATATTTAAATCACTTAACAATAAAAAACAGGGGATCTATTGGGTATATCTATTAAAAGAATTGGTAGTATAATGGAATTATTGCACCGTCTCTTGCTTTTATTTTTAATAAGTGCACAGATGCCGCAAAATTTAAATTATACCTTTTTTTAAGGATATGATTAAAAGTGACCTAGTAAATTATAGGCCCATTCCCATTCTTTACACATTTATTAAAATTTTGTATTTCGATTTGGTAATTATTTTAATTTAACCGAATTAATTCATAATGGCAATCTAGTTGATTGCCATTATGAATTAATTCGGATGCAGGTGTGGAATTATAAAGATACATTTTTGTTGCTTGGAAAAATAAAATGGATACGATTGACGTTTTTTGTGACCTATCTAAACCCTTTGGTTGTGTACATCATTATCTATTGCTGAAAAAATTAGCTTTTTATGGTGTCAATGATAATGCTTAAAATTTAATTAAATCATATTTATCAAACAAAAATCAAAAAGTTGAAGTAAATAACATTACATCTAATGGTTCGCTTGTGCGAATGTGTGTACTTCAAAGGTCTATCCTGGGGCCATTCCTATTTTTAGTCTATATCAGTGATTTCGCTTTTGCCATGCAGGATAGAAGTGGCATAGTATTATTCGCAGACGATACTTCTTTGATTAGTAAATTTGACCTTTACCCTAATTGTTTCAAAATTATGAGCGATCAACTACGGGTGCATATGCAGAGTTACTAAGACACATTTTTACTACCTTAAAAAAACAAAATGGATGCGATTGGCTTTTTTTGTGATCTATCTAATGCTTTCGATTGTGTAGATCATACATACATTGCTGAAAATACTAGCTTTTTGTAATCTTAAAGACAATGCTTTAAATTTAATTAAATCATGTTTGTCAAACAGGATTTAAAAAGCAGAATTAAATAACGTTATATCTAACGGGTCACTTGTGCTAATGGGTGTACTTCAAGGTTCTATCCTGGGGCCATTCCTATTTTTAGTTTATATTAATGATCTCGCTTTTCCCATCAGGATAGATGTGGCATAGTAATGCACGCAGATGACACTTCCTTGGTTTTTAAAGTTGACAAATTAACTAAAAATTATAACGATGTGAATACTGCTTGGCTGCGTCTCTTGCATTGGTCTACAACTAATAAAATAATATTAAAGCTAAAAAGATAAAATGTTTAAATTTTTCTCTATCTAAAAACCATAATTCCAAAAAAAGAAATCAAATAACAGATCCTTTGATTTTATAGATTCCACTCTTTCTTGGAATCACTCCTGATAATAAAAATTAGGGGGGTTTTAATATTTAAAACCATGCAACTAAATCAAGTTTTGCGGCGTATACTGTACGCAGAGTTAAAGAGTATAATAATATTCAAACTGTCAGATTAGTTTATTTAAGTTACTTTCATAGTATACTGTACTATGGAATATTATTATGGGATAAAGCAGCCGACATCCAAAGCATATTTGTATTAAAAAAATGTGCTATTGGCGTAATTTATTGTATGAGAAATCGTCAATCAGTAAGAGAGAAAATTGAGGAAGCAAATATTTTCACTATATATTCATAATACATATACGCAAACATTTTGTATATAAGCATAAATTTTCAATTGTTTCTTAAAAATAACGATCTCATTTTAAATAAGAGAACATTTTAAATAACCGATCAGGAATATTGAAAACAGTAAAATTGATTTTGAAAATTAACAGATAATTGCGACGTCGTCGCCATATTTTCTTACGAAATGAAAAATTCATGAAAATTTAACGTAGTTCTTATCACAGTACTCTGTAGTTACAATGACGTTTAAAATAACGTCTTCCGACAGACGTCATTCTGATATTCATTTCATTCATAAATCATTCATTCATCATTTAAAAGAATGAGTAAATATATTAAATCACTCACGCACTTGGAGACAAAAAGGAAATAAACTAATAATTTGAAATTTATTAATTATGATGAAATAAAATATAATAAAATGTAAGAAAATTAATATGTATATGAGATGTGAAATTGTGACTTAACATTAACTTTGGAATTGTTTCTGATAAGCCCACGTTTTAGGTATTTAAAAAAAAAAATTCCTATTAACACAAATAAACAGAATTATCTTTTTCGAAAATGTCTGAGGAAGAAATTGAAAAATGGTCCAGAGAAGGTCGTAGTAAAGGTATGGTTAAAAAATCTTATTTTTAAAGTCAATTTAAATAAAACTAATCGAAGATTTCATCTTATCAGCATTCACTGATAAGATGACACGTTACCGTCAATGATCATCAGTTCATGATCCTCAAGGCGATCTTGGTGGTATGGCACATCGCCTCACCTTCTGATAGTCGTGGGTTCGGTTCCCATACAATACAAACATTTGTGTTTATGAGTATCTTGTCTCATACAATATCCGTTTGTATTGGTCACAAAATGAATTAATTGTTTTCTATTTGTAATAATATAATATGTATGTATGTGTATATGTAATATATGTGTATTAACAAAAAAGTTCTATCTGTTATCTAGTGTCCAAAGTACAAGCTCTGTTTGTGATTAGAGGCCACTGACTAATATTCCTAATATTATTTTTTCCTTTTATACTTGGCTATGAATTGGTGACAAACACAGATATGAAATTAAACACATGTCTCTTATAGAAGAGACATGTGTTGTAATTTCATATCCTAATGACCCTAATGAATTTCATGACCCTAAGGCTCTGATGAGAAGTAAAAGGAAGACATTATCATCATCAAAGAGTTTTTTTTAGCAAGAAAATGAATGTAAATGTGAAAAAGACTCTATTTTCCGCGCTTAGCTTCTCATTTGGGCCATTGTGCGTATGAGTCATGGCTAGTACAGCCAACCTAGCTCCGCCCAGAAGCGCAGAAGCTTCCTGGGTTCTTCACAGGCCTCACAGAGCGGCCTCACCGTTCCAAGGATTTCTAAATGTTGTTGGGCCACAGTCTCACATTCTAGGATTACGTGAGCAGCCGTTTCTTCTGCGTCGAAACTGCCTCGACATAGAGGGCTGTCTGTGGCTCCTATTGTGTATAAATGTTTGTTTAATGGACAATGGCCCATTTTTTTAGCGAATATATATGACTTATCCCTGTATATCCTTCCACATCCAAATTCAAATCCATTCAAAAGTTTTTGTTAAAAAGAACAAACACCCGTCCAAACAAATTCAAATCCCATCTCGCAAACTTCCATATTTATGTACAGTAGAAACAGGAAGTAGAAATTATATTTGTACTACAAATACATATTACACAATGTGATAAAATTATATTTACAGATTTACATATGTCTCCGAGCTGCTCCAGTTTTGAAGTGCTGGATCCACATGATCCAGTGATCAGTCGGCTGGCGACCCAGCTGTTCAGGAAAACCAATGATTACCTGCAATCTGAAATGGCCTCTGGACAGGTAACAATTGAATTGTTTGGTATTTAGAGCTTTTCTGTTTGGATAATGAAGCTTATCAGATTATCTAATTTAACTTTCGAAAATAATTCAATAGTTTTTATTATTTTGTATTTATTATTTATTTAACTCATGGAGCGATCGGCTCTAGGCTAGCACACTACACCCACTGCGTCACCGATTTTTTAAATATCAAATTTCGAATAGAGGTTATGGATAAATGGGGTTATTAGCTACATAACTTAATGACCTTCATAAATTTAATGAAAACGAAGCTGCAAATTCGAGTTGTGCAACAGACGCTGTTGCATTAGTGAGCGATACCACATTTTAGTTCGGTATAGTGTATGATGCATAAACGCTCGAGGGTTAATTAGTGAATTATAATATTAATGACCTACATAAATTTAATGAAGAGAAGAGAGAAATTTTATGAGACAAGGTTCTTATAAAATTGTCATTGAAAATTTAGATTTTCATTACCAAAAACATATTTGAAGACATTCGAAGCAAAATGTAAAGTAGTGTAGTTTATTTTGAGCACTTTATTTTATCAATTAGAAATATTGAAATTTATTATTATTGTAAATTATGTAAACATGTGACATAATTATTTTGTGATTTCTAAATACTATGAAACAACATTGCTATGCACATGGAACTGTTTCTCCATTTATTTCTTCTAAACCATGGCATAGATTTTTAATATATATTCTTTATTGCACAAAAACATACAGTAATAATAAAAAATTTGTAATAAAGTAAACAAAGGTGCACTTATCTCTAAAAGAGATTTCTTTCAGACCACCTAACACAGTGGTATAGTATTTTAATATGAGTTTAGATATTTTTGATGGAATATTTGTAGACATAATTTGTTCCTATGCGAATGTGTTGCTAGTATTAAATAAAATAAACTGAAATGTTTTTTTGTAACTACTATATATTTCTTTTATTGTTATTGTGATGGATAAATTGAAAAACTACTCGGCTGATTTTAAAAATACTTTCATTGGTAAGAAGCTATATTACTGATAATATAGCTTCTTACAGGTGAAAGAATTAAGCATAACATTGGCTATATATTATTTTTGAAAATTCTATCTATTAATGTGAAGAGAAGTTGTATCACTAGTATGTCATAACTTTGGGATAGAAATATCCTATGATAGGATTTTTTTTTATACCACTAAGATGGCAAACAAGCATACAGCCCACCTGATGGTAAGTGGTTACTGTAGCCTATGAACACCTGCAATACCAGAGGTATTACGCGTGCGTTGCCGACCCTGAAGAAACCTCTTTACCCCCCTTTTGAAGAACCCCATGCTGTAGTCCTCGGCAGGGAGTTTATTCCACTACTTAAGTGTTCGTGGGAGGAACCGTCTCTGATATTTTTCTGATATTCTCTATATTTGTAAAATGTTTTTAACTTCGAAATTTATTCACCTATTTATGTATGTTTGGGTTACTTTTATTTTTAGGATCTCTACCACTTGCTAGAAGAAATGAATAGGCTCACTATTACCAAATATGCTGATCTCAGAAACTTTGCAGTTACATTGAACAAAACGCTGAATGAATACAACGATATGTGTAAGTATATACATATATTATATATATATATATATATATATATATATATATATATATATATATATATATATATATATATATTTTTTTTTTTTAAAATACATGTTGCTTACTTTAAAGTATTTTTTCTACATGTATTTAATATGTGGTCTTAGAAAAAGGATTAATTGATAAAAGTAATCAATATAAGTGTTAAATAAATTTTCTTGGAGAGAAATTGTCATTTTTTTTAGATTAAAATGGAATGTCCTCTTGGAATACCAGAAATCACAGGTGAGGATGTAGTCAAATCAGTTGGCCTATTGTGTGATGAAGTCTGGAAATTAACCACTATAGTTTTCAGGGTAGATAATGCGGGGATCAACCTCACTGGGTATATTACTATTAATGGGGTTTTTAGACTCCATCACTAACAATCCATTTCCCCCAAAATTCTTGAATATTGTTATTTCCTTCTCTCTTTTATTTAATATATGTTTATCGATAGACTCATTTGCCATATCAAGGTGTGAAAATTTATACATAATAATCGTATCCCGTGGCTTTGTTTGTTTGAATCGGTACATAATGTGTCCTATGTGTATGTAACCTACTCGTGTCTGTCATATCAGCCTTTAACAGTACCCTGCTGAACATCTCCCTTGGGGGATTTTGTCAGTACTTGCCACGTTTGGCAGGCGGATTGGCAACGCTGCTACCCATTCCTGGTCTTTCTTTATTCGCCTCATACGATACCCACGAGAAAGAAAGGGGTGGCCTAATCTATGCCAGGATACTCGTGTATATAATTTCGTTCAAATCCATTTAGTAGTTTTTGCGTGAAACAGTAACAAATATTCATCCATACTTACACGTATTTCTAATATTAATAGGATATCAAACTCTTTTCTCCTACATTCTTCACGACTCTGGAACGCGCTTCCTGATGCCATTAACAGACTACCGATTAAACTGTCTTTCAAAAAAAGCGTTCACGCTCACTTTCTATCTTTATCCGAGCAGTAAGTGCTTTATATTATTCCCAAATTCGTGTATAATATAGTATATATCATATATGTGTAAGTATATTTGTTATTCATATATATATTTATTCGTTTATATATGTAATTTTAGTATGTATGTATATCAATAATTAGTAGTACCGCATTCGAGTATTCTGACACTTCCCTATGGTTGACTGGGAGGGAATGCTTTTAGCATTAAGTCCGTCATGTACACATATTTGTACTAATGAATAAATGAATAAATAAATAAATAAATTAAAAATATTTATAATTAAAAATTATAAATTTTATTTTTTTCAGATAACCAAATGATAAAACCATTATTGTTACAAATAGATCAGATAGATGCACAAGTCTCCCGTTTCGAAGTGAACGCTTACAGATTGGACGCGTACACGAAACAGCTGAAGGCTGCGTTCAAAGAGCTCGAAGAGAAGTGAAACGTCACGTGTTGAGACGCACCGCGTGTCCAATGAGACTCGCCTTTGACAGAATCTGACGAATGTGTAAGAAAAGTTCATTGTAGATTTATCACTTAGCAAATGATAGCTAGTCGTTGACTCAGCAAACGTTGTTTTTGCCCTTACCGAGTCCTTGCATCTACCGGGTAAATTTTTTTGGAATCGGAATAAAAAACAATTACATCTCTCATGTTGAATCAAATGATACACATTTGCAAAGATCCGTCCAAATCTTAATATATAAATCACGTATCACGATATTAGTTTGTGTTAGTTTCCGCAATGTTTCGAGCAATTTTATTGATATTTTGTAAATGTGCATTGCTCGCTCCAACTTAATAGATAAGATAGTTTATTATATCGATTAGAAAACACGCGTTTAAAAGGACAGTAGGGGCAAAATAAATTTTGCTCTATCGGTTTTTTTATGGGTGAAAATGGTATGGTAACCCCGCCTGCGCTAACGGTATACGCTTGCGGAGCACCAGTGAAGGGTGATAGGTGAGAATGAAAACAGGCCAGTTAGCCCATCATGATGAATTCATCAGGAATTAACCATGATAGTTTCCAGGGGGAACCGCGAGGAGGTCGACCTGGTTGGGTATATTGCTAGCAATGGGATTCTCAGTTTCCTTTACTAACAATCCCTTTCCCCCTGCTCTGTCGGTTAGTTGATTATAAAAATACTGGCACGAAATTTAGATGGTAGTCAAGCGTTTTTAAACTGAGTTGCTACCATTACTCCTATATTAGCATACCATCTTCAGTTAGTATGGTAAATGAAAAAAGAAACAGTAGATAGATAGATAGATAGATAGACAATTTATTTACATTACTTACAGCACACAAATTACAATAAAAAAAACATACACGTAATACACAGCAAAAGAGACAAGAATAAAAATAAAAAAAGCACAAATAAAAAAAAAAATACAAAAACTAAATACATAATCTAACAATCTCCTTTGTTAACATTCCTTCATGCGTGTGCCATAGTAACACAAAATGGTCACAGCTCAGTTTATTGCTTTGCCCTTAAAAGAGCAAAACACTGATATTCTGCTATTCTATTCTTTATTTATTAGATACATGCATTTTTGGTTTGGTAACATTCGTCATGTTTTGTCAAATATGTAGTCTCAGATATATTACTACTGTTATATAGAATGCACTATTAATTAACAGGCTCCTAATTAGAAATCTGTAAAGTATATTATGTATATATATATTCTATTTTTTTCCCCCACTTGGCATATTTGGTAAATAGTCTTAACATGTTTTATTTTTTTTATATTAGTCATTTAAAAATAATATTAGACAAAACTATATGAAATAATATAAACACCTTTTTATTTTACCTATTTATTTATTTGAATTAATGATAATTTAATTAAAATATATAATAAGATTATTTGCTAAGTATATGAAGTATAAAAACAGTAATAAAATTTATTAATAATTAATGTAATTTATTAAATAAGTTTTGAATGTACGATTGATTATACAAAATTTTTTAAGTATTATAAAATATTGTAATTAAGAATATTTTACGATTAGATATTATTATATATCTTCACGCTATATCACTGGTAGGTAAATTAGGTATATTCCTAATTGTTATATAAGTATTTTTGTTTAAATCTGTTATTGGCTGCTGCTGAAGGCTAATGTTTATATTAATGCATGAATGAAAATGGTTTTTATTAAAGACATATACGATTATGTAGAATAAGTATAAAAATGCAACATCACAAGAATCCATGTAATGTAATATCATAAGAACCTAGGTAATAAATATAAAGAAATATACAATTATATAGTATAAGTAGAAAAATCCGACATCACAAGAATGCATGTAAAGAGGTATCACAAGAACCCTGGTAAAGGAAGCAATACCGCTAGTATCGAGGTAAAGAGGCATCACATTTATTTAAGTAATGTAACATCACAAGAACCCTGGTCAAGCAACATCATAAGAACCTAGGTAATAAATATAAAGAATACATACAATTATATAGAATAAATATAAAAACATCACAAGAATCCATGTAAAGAGGTGTCATAAGATCTCGAGTAAAGCAACATTATAAAAACCCAAGTAATACAATATTTTAAGAATCCAGGTAAAGGTTCATTACAAGATTCTAGGTAAAACAATGTCACTAGAACCCGGATAAAGGAACAATACAAGATCCCATTTAAAACATAATCACAAGAATTCAGATAAAGAAGCATCACAAGAACCCAGGTAAAACAATATCATTAGAACCCGGATAAAGGAACAGTACAAGATCCCATTTAAAACATAATCACAAGAATTCAGATAAAGAAGCATCACAAGAACCCAGGTAAAACAATATCATTAGAACCCGGATAAAGGAACAATACAAGATCCCATTTAAAACATAATCACAAGAATTCAGATAAAGAAGCATCACAAGAACCCAGTTAAAACAATATCACTAAAACCTGGATAAAGGAACAGTACAAGATTTCATTTAAAACATAATCACAAGAATTCAGGTAAAGAGGCATTACATGAATTAAAATAAAGTAGTATTATAAGGATCCAGATAAAAAGAAATTACAAGAACCCAGGTAAATAAGTATCACAGTAATCCAGGTAAAGTAAGTCACATCACAAGGATCCAGTTAAAGTAATGTCCCAAGAATTTAGGTAAAGCAACATCACCAGAACACAAGTAAAGAGGCCTTATAAGAACCCAGGTAAAGGAAGCAACATCACATGGACTTAGATAAAGAGGCATCACAAGAAACCAGATGAAGGAAGCAAAGTCATTTTTAAGCCATTATCCGTATACTGCTGGACATAAGCCTCTCCCATAGACTGCCATAAAGAACGGTCCTGAGCCACCCGCATCCACTGATTCCCTGCAACGCATATAATATGTGCATGCAGTAGGTTATATATGCAGTTCGTCAGGAACACAATTTCATATATATAAGTCGCTCATGTTTTTATCACTGCGTATGTTTATATTTTATATACTGTATTTAAGTTTTATATATTTTCAATAAAATCAGGTAATCATGTATATATATATATATATATATATATATATATATATATATATATATATATATATATATATATATATATATATATATATATATATATATATATATATATATATATATATATATATATATATAGATAGGGATTTGTTTATTGATTGAAATAAAAAATAATCTATATTCTTCCCCATTCCATACAGTAACGTCTTAGATTATATAGGTGTGTATATTAAAGTGTGTCCATACAAATGCTTCGAGAAAAGCAGGTCAACTTTTTCATACAATTTTGCGTGGTACATAAATAGTTATAAGTGATTCTTTTATCATTTCTATATTTATTTTGTATTATAATTTTTGCATCTTTTTAATGCGTAAAAAATAATTTTATTTATTAAATAATTAAATATAGATACGTCAAAATATATGGTCTGCGTAAGTATATAAAAAAACTGATAAAAAAAATTTTGTTAGCTCATTTGACAATAAGCTGACAAAAAGTTGACCCGTTTTTGAAACTCGATGCTCTATATATATAATTTAAGAGTAACATATATGTATATCTAATTTCAAAGTGATTCATTAAGTTGTTAAAGCGTTAACAGGTTGTTACCTCTTCACGTAACAATATTAGTGAGGATTTGAAATGTAATTATAGATGTACATGACTACTTGTTAAAAAAAATCCTCTTATTAAAAAAAAAGGTTAAAAAAAATTTTTTCAACAACAACCAAGAAATAACATCTATCGCTTATGACGAGCTGCGATTTTGACGAATTACGGTTATATCAGATTGCGTAAATAATCGTTAATTTTAAACACACGACGTGGTGCAATCCACGTCGAAAGGCCGGCAATAAATATCAAGAATGTAGTGTGTATTTACCTGCAATCCCGTCGCATTACGTCACGATAATGTTTTTAAAATACGCGTAAATCTTCTGTCTAATAATGTGGGATATGTAATCCATTCTCTTTATCAGTCTGCTGTTTCATATTGTGATATATTTATTGTTAAATTTACATTGTTAATGTATTGTTTTTCATGTTCTAATTAATATATAATATTGTTAGATACTTATTGTTTAAGTATTACTGTATTAATGGAATATCAATATTGATTTAAAATATTATGAAATCTTGTGTGTCGTGTAAAATGAAATGTAATCACGTATTGTTTAAGTAAGAGATATATTTATTCAATAAATATTTGTTTGTTTTAATAAATAATGCACATAAATAATGTATTAATTGTATTTTATTTTTTATTTTAAATATTTTACAAAAACTACTTATTGTTCTAAATACAATAAGTAATTATTTTAATCGAACTGAGAACGTAGTGGCCTAGTGGTATACTACTTCGATATATAAAACGTAAAGGTCGTGAGTTCGAATCTTGCCGACAAAAAAATTCGACTAACCCTTGGAGAGGGGCCAGGAGGTGATGGATTATTAAAATGGAGATGTTAATGCTCTCTTCTAAGAATATCAGTCTTTCAGGTTGATCACCATAGAAACCGCCCTCTTTCTGGAAACTATCGTGGTCAATTTCTGTTGAATTCGCCGCATTGAGTCAACTTACCTGACTAATTATCACCTATACATATAATATTATATAACTGTAGAGGTCGAATGTCTGTACATAAAAAAAAAACGCTGAAAACAGAGTCAGGGGGATGCTAGAAGTGAAACAGAACGACGTCCAGATTTTTTTAAATTTTTGTTTATCTGTATGTTTGTACGGGCTAATCTCCGAAACTGTTGGATCGATATGTATGAAATTTTACATGGTGCTACCTTATAGCTTTGTTCAACATTTTAGATACTTTTAATCACGAAAAATTAAAGAGTTCCCGTGGGATAGTTAAAAAACTATAGTACCTTATACAGTTTAGTACACAACCTACTTAAGTCATTTTGATCTAAGGCAAAGAGTGAGAACAACACGTTATTTGTTAATTTTGGTTTAGTATTCCCAGACAAAATAAATAGGTACATACATCAATACATATTAAACAGGGGGGAAAGGGATTGTTAGTAATTGGGAATCCCCTTCTTCCAATTACCGAGTACTTAATAAACAATGTAAACAAATTAGCAATGGGAATGATGCGTTGCTGACAACAAATCTTGGCAGTTCTTCACGCGGCCCCTTCTTGAAAACCACCGTGGTTACAAGCTCTTGGCGGGTTCTTTACAATGGGATAACTGATCTGACTTCATCCTCACCTATCATCCCTCACTAGGATGCCACCTAGATATACTAATAGTCGTTCATATTCATTCCATAGAAAGAGTACTCAGTAAAATCGTTCACTAGTTGTGCCTTAAATATAGTAATGAAATCGTTAGCAGCACTTGAAGGGAGTATTCTAATGTGAAGCTAATAATTTCTCCAATAGAAATAGCTTGAACAACGACAATAATATGGGCATCCCATACTAACTAGCGGTACGCCCAGTTGTTTAGCCAGTATGGTAGGTCGAAGATTTGTGTCAACTTCATCATTTCAGCCTTTAAGTGTCTACTGCTGGATATAAGCCTCCTCTTGGGGGAGGGGGAAAGGGATTGTTAGTAATGGAGACTGAGAATCCCATTGCTAGCAATATACCCAACCAGGTCGACCTCCTCGCGGTTCCCCCTGGAAACTATCATGGTTAATTCCTGATGAATTATCATGATGGGCTAACTGGCCTGTTTTCATTCTCATCTATCACCCTTCACTGGTGCTCCGCCAGCGCATCCGTTAGCGCAGGCGGGGTTACTATACCATTTTCACCCATAAAAAAAAAAGCACTCCCCTTGGGGTGTTTTGTCAGAAGTTTCTATGCTTAGTAGGCGGATTGGCAACTGCAGGTAGGCTTTAGGGATGTTTTTTGAGGGACGCTGCTGCCCATCACTCGCCTTCCCTTAATCGCCTCTTACGACACCCACGAGAAATGAAGGGGTGACCTATTCTAACAATGACAAATAAAATTGATAACAGCGTTATTTCGACCGGCGTAGTGAACTAAGACAGATTCTTAACATGGCGCCTCCCTCCATTTTTTTATTTTAATGTGTTAGACAATGATATTGACTTGGTGTTTTATATGTGTTAGTGAGGAAACATCTTCAGAAGCGCTCTTGGCAGAGGAATATTAAATTCCTTGATGGAAACCTTGTAAATATTTTTACTTATACATTTTTAATTTTTTTTTAATTTTGGACATGCGTGCCATGTTATTGTAGTCAATTTGTAAGTGTGCTACTATGCATAGAAATTCAATTTGGTTTTCAAAATGCATTTCCCTTGTCATTGCCAAAGCCTACAGAATGAAAACACTTAAAAATTTAGACGAAATGAAAGTGTAATGTTTTATGAAATGTAGTGTGAAATTTTATAGACTAGCAACGCTGATAGGAAGGTTAGGTTTTAAACTCGGGTAACTATTATAATAACGTGATAAATAATAAAACTCATTGATGTATTTTTTACATTTTTATAACAATTAGTTCCAATAAAATTTTACAATTTCGTTTTGTACAAGTACGGAGAAATATCCGCGTTGAAACGAAAACTTAATTCAGATAGTGGCTTTATTAACTGTGGAGAGTGCTTATTTATGAAGAGTTAGGGTTTGGTTCACTAGCGATTGGGTAACATGTATATATGCACCCAATAAATCTGTCCGTCCGTGCATCCAGCGTCGCTACGTGACCGATATCAAACATACAGACAGACACACAAAATTATTGGTGGCGAGCCCATCACTGTATTGTAATCGAAAACTTAATAATGCACCTATTAAATTTGCGTTTGTCCACATATAATTTTCTTAAGCCCATGTTTTGTTGTAACAAATTCTCGTGTTAATTATTTAATGACTGGTTTATGTTTGAAACATTGTGCGAAATTCTCGCTACAAACATTTACTGCCTGCTCTTTATATTACATAAAACGTCGTAAGGAATTCTCATATTAATCATTAAATGATTGGTTTATGGTACGTTTTTTGTGAGAAATTCTCATTAATGGAACATTTTATGCCTGGTTTATGTACGTTTTGGTGTTTATGCGAATTATGACTAAATATAGACATGCACTCACGCTTGCCGTTCTTGTATGACTACATTTTTTTTTTTAAATTAAGTGGCTATTAAAAACCTCTTGCAATATTGACAATAAGTATTCTGGTAAGTAAATGAAACAATCTACTCGTACTCAATGCAAGATGTCAAGACACTAGCTGAATGTACGTTCATATATTTAAAATAGTAATAGGTATTTTAAATATTCATCTATTTAAACAAAAAAAAAAATAGAATAAATTTATTGTTACAGTTAGAAGTTTAAATTGTTCGAAAGACCTATAAATCTTCGTGCCTAATAGCATGTAAATATAAAAATCACTATCTAATATATTTTAGCCCAAGGATTGCCTAGTGACAGGTTCTTTTTTTTTTAAAATACCTAATTGCCTTGTTAATGGTTAATCCAAATAGATACACAAATGTTTTATCGTAAAACATTTTAGATGTAGGCATATAAATTCCATACAATTCCCAATTTTAAATAATTTAAATTGCTTAATTTTTTTTTATATATCCAAGAAAATTATATGAACACAAACGGCCATAAAAACATACTTGTAATGTAACAATAGTCGTGTCGACTGCTCTCTGAAAATATAAAGTGTAAAAGACGAATAATATCTTTATATTAATTTCTATGCATTAAATTTATTTAGAATACGCTTACTCCGACATATAATTACCTAGATATAATAATAATAATAATAAAAAAATAATAATATAATAACGCGAAATGAAGATTATTTTTAGAGAGCAATCAGTAACAGCTGATTATAATCACATCATCACACCACAAAACATACTTAGTATCGGCATTTATTACTTTATTATCTATGTATTAATTTAACAATATCATACATACCTACATACATTCGTCGTACAATGATGGGCTCGCGTAATTCGACCCGAACATCGCCCGTCCACCCCGTTTTGTTCTCAACATCGTTATTTACACCATACCGCAATGCTTGGGTCGAATTTATTTGTTTCTTCTTTTTTTCATTATCTATAAATAATTTATTTACAAATTGTTTCTAATATGTAAACGGATAGTTCGACTGAGACTGAGTTTTGGTTTGACAAAGCTGTCTCTTACGAATGTTTACACCGCAAGATTAGTAGCGTTATCACTTATCCAAATTCAAACATAACAAGTTAACATTTATTTTCAGTGATTTAAAAAGTACCTCTGTATTAAATTAAATTGTTAATCATTCAATATAATTCTTATTAAAAAAAAAAAAAACCTAATGCTTTTTAGCAGTTATTTTTTTAAAGCATTAGTTGATAATGAAGTAGTCGACCGAGTTACTCGTTTTTCTCAACAGAAATTGTCTTCCGAATGGACGGTACAATTATGAAAATTATAAAAAATATTAAATTTACATTCATTTAAATAAATATTATTTCTTTTAAACTAACACATGCATTTTAAGTGAGAAAATTATATTACATATATATATTACAAAATGTAAAAATTTGTTGTTAATTGTCTAGTGTATAACCCATATGATGATATGAGATGCAATATAAAAACATTTTTTAAATAATCATTCAAAAATTTTATAACTCGCTCAATTTTGAAAGTTGACAATTCATGTATAATATGTTTCATTAGAATTTAATATAACGGCAACAAACGAATAAATGATCCTACCACAAGACAGCCTGATGATGTTTTATAAAAAAAAAAATTATACCACGGTTTTATAAAAAAAAAAAAACAATTATACGGTGGCAAACAAGCATATAGCCCGTCTGATGATAAACGGTTACTGTAGCTTAAAAATAAATGGTAATTGATTGAACATTTCAATTTGTTACCGATTTCTTTTTTTTTAAACCACAAAGGTGGCAAATAGGCGTACAGCCCGTATGATGGTAAACGCTCACTGTAGCATGTAGATGGCTACACTAGGGGAGTCACGTGGGCGTTGCCGACCCTGAAGAAACCTTAATATTTTCAAAGTATTTCTATGATAATTTCAACAAAACATGGTTACCTTAAATTCTATTGAAACATATTTAAAGACGCTCTAAGATTGTGGTGTGAACATTCATTTCAATACCGCATCTAATACATATGTATGTATATCTAAATAGGTACCCATTAGGCAGGTACATGTTGTCTAATCTCACGAGTGAATATAAATAAATTAATATTTATTTCATGATTCTCCTCGATCAGTAATTAGTTATATTATTTCTAATTATTTATTGTGCCATGCCGTTATTTTTTTGTGCGAGATTTTTGTGCTAGCAATTTATTATAGTAAATAAATCGTTATTGATTACACACTAACTATTACTAACAGGTACCTATGTGGAAATGAAGCCATAGATAATCTCTCTACCACTAATGAGAATTTTCATTAATCGAATTGAAAGTTTAAAGACGAACACCACAGTTTCGACAATCGAGCCATATTATAAGTCAAAGAATTATGCAGAATTTGATTCTTCCAAGTTAGTTATTATATTTTAGAAAGTAAATTACAATTTTATAGGGATTGCAGAATACAGTGTTCATTGGCAAAGGTATATTTTTATATTATAACAATGCATATAACAATGTATTCAGTGTTTGTTATCAGATTTTAAATTACGAGTGCATCATTTACACTTCCTTACAAATATTTTGTACCTTAGAGTTGTTTGGAAGAAACTGTTTATCCGTTCTATCGCTTATCGTAAGTAGTTCTAATATTTTTTTTTATTGCATTTTCATAAATTATTTTATTATTATTAATGATTGCATCATAGTGTGAATCGATCGAATCCATAAAGATCGAATTACAAATATTATTGGGATAGTAAATATATTTAATAATGTATTAAAAGTAAAAGTAATTTAAATTAAATTTTAATTTTAATATGATAAAAAAGTGTTTTTTTAATGAATGTTGAATAAATAATATTACAAAAATAAAATTGTTTTAATTTATATTTATAACAAGAACAAGTAAAAAATTGTTAGTGGACTTCAATACGTCCCATGGATTGATTGATCCACCCAATAATTAATAATACCCATTATTCGTTTAATTAATTCGATCTATCGGTAATTCGATCGGTCTTTTTTTAGGATTCATTCATTTCCCTTCTTTAAACGGTATCTTCCTATCACAAAATTGACATTACCTAACAACGGAAACTTACTGAATTAATTAATGTTCATTACAACAGAATATTTACACACGTCACAAAACCCAATCTCCGAACTATCTGTCACAAATTAATTTTAACACCGAATAAAGCGTAGAAAACAATATCCTAACAATCGAAATTACTTCTCCTTTATTCCACTGACAAAGGTCGAGGCGCGTTCTAAAGCGGAAATACAATGTCCGAACCGTTTTGGCGAGGTAGGTTTAATTTGGTGTCTCGAATTATTCCTATCGTATTTCTCTACTAGTTTAGTTTGAAAAATTTGATTAAAGGTCGACAAGTCATAGTTCATTTCATGTGTACATGTGTAAATTACACTATGTAGAGGCCAATCATGAATTCACTACATAGCAAATTTAGAAAAATGCCAGATGGTCATATAAACGTCTGATGGTCGTAGAAATGATGGTAGGTTATAAAAACGGCAGGGAATCGCAATAAGTGGTGGAAACTTTTATCTATCAGCTTCGAATATCAATGTACAATCTCAATAGACGGTTAACATCGATTATGATACATCTATAAGGATTTCCGCGTTATATAATTATGTCAGTTTAACGGACATTACTTCCATTTAGAACGCGCGATAGGCGAGCAGTAACGCTTTTGTCGATCATATGATGCACACATATCGATTTGGGGCTACCGTCAACATTTTCCAATCACACAGAACATGAAAACTGCAGTGGAGATTTAGAATATTAAGTGTCTTCTTGTCGAGTCTTATTTTTTTCTAATTGGCATTTTGTCTGAACAACTAACTTCTAAATGAATATAACAATATGGAACTTTATTATTTTATTTATATTATAATTTAGATATAGAATGAAAATGTTGACAGCTACGCCGTAATGAACACATTGTTAAGAGTGGCACCCAAATATTCTAGTCGTGCTTCAACTACAAGCGGGGTTTTGTTTCGCTTTCCATAAACACTTTCTAATATACCTTAACTACCAATATTTTAATAGCATATCTATAAGTTAGCCCGCTCTAATACAATCCGCCTCGCTAGAGGTGAAGCCACGACCCACAGCCAAAAATATGCGCGATTACATTTATTATTCACGACAATCCAACAGCTATGAGTACATGAATCCGTTCAATCTTTCCATTTATTGGTATTCCAAAAATAGAACTTATCACAAAATACATCTGATTATGTGTTCATTGCAATTTTTGCTCAGAGAAATCGGGGGTAGGGATATTATAATACGTCTCATATATTCATAACTGATCTATTCTATCATCATCATACAAGAATAATTGGCATTATACTAACAAATGTCAAACGACGTCCCCTAACAAATGTCAAATGACATTCACTACTAAATGTCAATCGCGTGACGTCACTAATCAAGAATATGAACCGTTGGCGCGACGATCGCTTGCCGCGCCCGCGATCACTTTGAGCTAAAAATATTACAATAAATGATATATATTCAGTCATCGCGAACGACATGTGTCCATTGTAACATTAGGCCGTGCTCACTGCATGCACCGATCACGAACGATACATGAAAGCCATTTATCTTAATATTGAATTGAGCAGTTGGAGATGCATGGACGAACAAATTGACTAAACCCTGTAGTAACTACAGAATCTAACTATGTAATTAAACATTTGTTCGTCTTCTAGGTACGTACGCGTACAAGTTTAAAAGCTTTACATTGTTAAAAGTCTTCACAAAATTGTATAACTTACCATACTCTATTCATTTTTTCATCATCAATTAAAAAGTTAATAATATGTTTTTTTTTTAATTTTTATTATCACTTAACGCTACAAATTAAGGATATTCTAAAGGCGGCGATAAATGAAAACTTGTAATCACAGAAACAAATATCATTGCGTGAGAATTGTGTTTCGTATCTTTACTATTACGATGCTTGGAGTAAATTACAATAATTATAATTTTTTTTCTTCAATTCCCGCAATTGCAATATATCTCTCCCGACACCCAATTATATTCATTTATACGGTAAATTTAATAATAGAATCTCGGTCATTTAGATATGACAATAATTTATTATTGGTTATAACAATAATTATGAGTAAAAAGAGAATAAAAACCTTCGTAAAATAATATAATTATATATAAAAAAAAATCAACAATACAATAAAGTCACAGCATGTATTTACATCGTTATTTATACATGTTAGTGACATCTATGTCAATTAACGGTTACCGTTATTATACTCTTAGTGTACTGTGATCGTACCCATTTTATATTATTTATTTCTCTACATAGAATTAGTTGGCATGTAATCCGTGCGTACATATTATAACAGATTGTATCGGTACATATTATAACATGTTGTCCCCAAAACAATATCCTTACCGGCTTTGCTTTCTAAAATGTAGTTGATAAAAACTCTACTGCTTTTATAATGAATATTTTCATCTCATTGAACATACTTATCAATTAACTTTATTATTAATATCAGAAGCTAGAATCTGTAGACCGTTAACGCACCGACCCGCGATTCACCGTTACTCTAACCTGTGTAGCGCTATCATCAATTCGTAAATCGTTGTCTTAAAAACTTATGTAGCACTGGGCCAATAAATACGAGTACGTATACCAATCTACACAGCACTGCTATAGATTCTGTTTGCTGGTACACCAATCTATGTACGTAGCTCTGCTATCGACTTCCAGATTGCTGGCACACCAATCTACGATTGCTGGCACACCAATCTACGTAGCGCTGCTATCGACTTTCACACTGCTGACACCAATTTACGTAGCTCTGACATCGACTCCCAGACTGCTGGCACACCAATCAACGTAGCACTGCTATCGATTCCCACATTGCTAAAACCAATCTATGTAGCTCTGACATCGACTCCCAGCTTGCTAGCACATTAGTCTGCGTAGCTTTGCTATTGACTCCCAGACTGCTGGCACACCAATTTACGTAGCGCTGCTATTGACTCCCAGAGTGCTGGCACACCAATTTATGTACGTAGCTCTGCTATTGACATCCAGACTGCTGGCACCAATCTACGTAGCTCTGACATCGACTCCCAAAGTGCTGGTACATTAATCTATGTAGCCCTGACATCGACTCCCAGATTGCTGGCACATTAATTTACCTAGCGTTGTTATTGACTGTCAGACTACTGGTATATCAATCAATGTAGCACTGCTGTCGACTCCCAGACTGCTGGCACACCGATTTACGTAGCGCTATCATCGACTCATAAATCGATATCACAGCCATGTGTGTTGTGCTATAATCAACTTGCAACCCTATGTTACATCGATCTGCTATCATTAACTTGTAATACCGATTTACATAGGTAGCGTTTTTTATTTCGATTCATAAACCGCAATTACACAGATCTACGAACGATGACACGTCTACCCGCGAACCGCCGTCCCGCAAAACACGCGACACCCACAATAAAATTTCATGAAGACCTAAATAAAATGGGTACAAGAATCCGATGGCACTTTATATGGTACCTATGCATTCATAAATTATGTCATAAAATGACTAAAGAACTATGTTTAACTGTACGCCGTGACTTACTATCTAGTTTCGTTATAACCTAATCACATCGATTTAGAACATTTGTTGTGTGGTAGTGATAGATGCGCGGCCCGCCGCCTGTCGCCTCAGTCCATGAAACAAGAAGTTGGCGGCCGCCTTGATGGGCGCGACGAGTGGCGCACGCGCAGCGGTCTCCCATTGTCAAACGTTGCCCGTGGCCGGGAACCGCGGCGGCGGCAGCGGCGGCGGCGGCCGCCCCGCCTCGCCCCCACCCGACGACTGTTCTGACACTGCAACGTAAATGTTATTATATAATTAATAAAATTATAAATATATAAATAAAAAAAAAGATCCAGACTGAGAAGACTGTATTATTGTGAATTGTGATCATGTATTTTAATTATTTTAGTATTATTACTTAATTACCGGCCTTAAAGAGACGACAAGGTCAAGAGGGCATCAAGGAAGGGCGCCATCGGATCAATAAGAACAACATGGGACTGTCAAACTTGCCAAAATACGTCAACTAGGCTAGGGTCGTGATTAAATACTTTTTTCTGAACTGTACTAGGTATGATGAACTGTTCTAAAGTAAAAATACTATCATGAAGTCTATAACTGATAGAATAAAAAACAAAAACATGAATTGTACGACTACGCAATTTAATTTTTAATTTATGTTAATATTTCTAAACTTTTATTATATACGAGTAAATCCTACAGTTAAGCATTTAAAAAAAATTAAATATAATTATTCGTTGAGACAATACTATATCCAGTGTGTTTTTTTATACAATTTAGAATGGCAAACAAGCTGACGGCCCACCTGATGGAAAGCGGTAATCGTCGCCTATAGACATGAGCAGTACCATGGACATAAAAGAGTATACTTTTCGCCCATGATACCCCCCACGCGTTGCCATTCCTGAGGACTTAGGTGTTATTCCTCTGTACCCTGTAAATTCACTGTCATATCTCACCCTTCAAACCAAAACACAGCTATGCAAACACAACTCCTTCACGATTGAAACACGAATGGGAGAGAGGTACTCAAGCAATCGACTTTTGTACAAAATCACCCTGTGGTGTGATTCGATTTATTTGAATTGGTAAATGAAGGAATACATTAATGTTAATGACTATATAACAGATGACCTTGACGTTAACAGCTGACTGAAACTGTTTTGTCGTTATCTATACAAGTGAAATCTATCTCTCTAAGGGCTTTTATATATCTACTTTAACTATTACATTGTTTTGTCACTTTTTCTCAAATTTGGAATTTTGTGTAAAAGAAAGAGACAAAACTCTTCAACAGCTAACATAAGTTTATGAGAGGTTTGACATTTTTATAAAAAAAAGGATTTTTAGCATTCAACGGTGGTCGCTGATGACGCGCCATCTTCTTACCATGTTGATTATCAACTTTATATATAGTATATCAGAATTCGATTTTAAATGTTTGATACATGTTTGTAACATTTGTCATAACACTAAAGAGCAGTTAGCATTTTTATGAATATTGTATTCATGGGAATTTAAAATTTTTTGTCATCTTTCGGCCTAAGTTTGGGAAAAATGTTTACTTGCTAATAATTTTTATATCATTCTGTATAAAAAACAGCAAGTTAACCTAAAGTTAATCAATACAGCGAAGTTACATCGGATTCATTTTGGGTGTTTTGATACACTTACTATCAACTTGTTTCGAATTTTTACATACCTTTATTTCTTACTTAATATTAATTTGGCTAAATTACAAGTCATATTTTAATAAAGTGAATAGGCTGTTTCTTATTTTATCTCTCTATCTTCACACCAAATCTCTTGCAGGGTACACAGAGAGAACAGAGTACTAAATGCTTCTATCTTTACGTAGATCATTTGTTTCCTACACTTTTTTAGCTCGTTTCATGCATGCATGCCTCGAGACTCGTGATAAAATACCTTAGATAGAATACAATCTATTTAATTATAATAGTTTAGTCTAGGTCTCCTCTTGTACCTATATTAATCCACTTTCGTATTTTATATCGAAATATCTTTGAAGTATACAAAATTAGTTAACTTATTTCTATCACTTAAGTGGTGTAAGGTTTTCAAGTAGGTAACATAGTAACATTCTAAGGAATTTTTTATGGAATAAACATTATAAAATACAAAGGGTGTAGGCGACATAGTTTACAGAAGTAGGCATCACATCGTGCAGCGGATATGTTCATGATGAGTAAAGTGGTCAGAATATGAAGCTGTGATGAGTAATTCCACATCTTACCGATTACATTAGATGACTGAACGCAACTTTTGATTATCAACTTTATATATAGTATATCAGAATTCGATTTTAAATGTTTGATGCATGTTTGTAACATTTGTCATAACACTAAAGAGCAGTTAACATTTTTATGAATACAATTTCGTAATAATTAGTAATTTTAAAATAAATATGTGATTTTTTTGAAAAAAAAAAATTAAATACTGATTATAAAATAATTAAATTGAAAGAAAACTTTAGTTAGAATCCTCTTATAAAGTAACTACTGTAAAATTATTTATTGCTAAATATACATTTAAAAAAATATAAAATTTCAATTTAAAAAGTGTCTTTTTTTGTTCTATCTGAAAGTGACATCAAACAGAAAAAATTATGCCCCTATAATACAATAATTTACACCCACAAAAAAAAAATAGACTCTGCAGTAGTTTAATTTTTTTAAAATAAATATACAAATAAATAATTACTGTCGTAATTAATTGTATGAACGGATGCGTCCAGCCGTGTAATGCAGTCGGTGATGAGACACAGATGAGTCACTCACATGAGTCGTGCTTCTCATCGACGGGGGCCGGCGGCGGCGGCGGCGGCAGCTGCTGCTCCAACGCATTCACGCAGTTCATCATACTCCCGTATAGGCGGCTGTCGCGAAAGCTGTCCCTGCACACACCATGCACATCATCAAGATGCCCTTGAAATGATGATGGTGATTGTTGATGCTCGGTACAATTTGGATGGCATCTTTGGAACGAGATCGCTACTTTTTCAGTAGGGTGGCATTCTAAAAACCTTTATTCTACACAAAATAAAGAGAGAATAGAAGAAACAGTCTTAATACTTAGTAGTACGGAGGCGGGCTCATACCTAGTCAGAATGTAATCTATAAAGAAGGAATTTTCAATTACTAAATTGTATATCTCTTTCAGACCCAAGATTTTTTTCTTTCAGATTAAATATATTTCCGTGTTTTGGAGCCAAGCCATGTTGCCGGCACGCACGAGACTACTGCACCACCTAACCGCTAAAATGATTTCTTATTGGCTGGTTTAGAATCTCACTATCATGTTATTTCAGCTTCGTGCGTAAAAATGATTTGCGCGCGGTTTTAGAATTTTTTAAAGTTACAACTCACGCCCGTATCGTTCAGGTCTGAAAGGGATATTTTTTTATTAAAATTTATCTACTACCTTCTGTAAATAAGGTTACTACCTAAATAAACAACATGACAACTGAAATAAATATGGCATTATGAAGAATTTACGAAGACATTGGATCATAAAAGTAAAGAACTGCAGACGTGTTACTATATATGTATATAGTATCTGGGACACTTATTTGCTATTGAGGGAAAATAACGATCAACCTGTAAATATCTAGTGTATAAAAGAATCATTAAAATTGGCGACAATATTGATATTATCATATACAAATAAAAATTGTCCAACTGAGAGCATTTTCTACTTTTTTTGAACTTGATTGAGGAACACGTGACATCAAATAATAACTGTAATAATTTTTTAATTGTAACTAATTGTATATTTATTAAATACTGTTTTTTTTTATTTATAATTTGTAATTATTTAACGTTTATCTTAAACGAATATAATGACAGCCTTATTTGTAATTTTCATAAAAATTTTGTATTTAATCATTGTACGAAAGATTTTTTTTTATTTTTTATACAACTTAGAATGGCAAACAAGCTGACGGCCCACCTGATGGAAAGTGGTAACCGTCGCCTATAGACATGAGCAGTACCATGGACATAACAGAGTATACTGTTACACAGTTGTATACACAGAGAGCCCATGATACACCCCATGCGTTGCCATTCCTGAGGACTCAGGTGTTATTCCTCTGTACCCAGTAAATTCAGGTATTAATTATGTACACATGAAAAACACAAATATATTAATTGGCAATTGAATAAGAAATGCAGTTTATTTCAATAGAACTTCTCTCTTTCTTAAATTATTATTAAACTTAAGAATATTTTTCACAAACAATACCCGATTTCAATAGTGGCAATACCAGTTATTTTGACCAAAAATAAACTACTGACCTTAGATAAAAAAAAAAATTATAATAATGGGATCAATCTGTAAGTATATTCTTTGAGATAAGAAATAATTTTCCAAATCGGTTTACAGCTGATGGGGTTATGAAGTAACAAACATAAAAAAGTACAACGTAATTGAGAACCCCATTCTTTTCGAAGTCGGTTAAAAATATAAGAATATAAATAATTAAAGACTTAAGACTGTCTGTCGATATCCAATAATAGTACATGTAAAAATATTTTTTTTAATTATACTATTAGTAAATTGTCTGAGTGTTTGGATTTGTCAATAATTTCAGAATCAGAAAGTGTTTTTGTGACATTTATAACAAAATTTCATTAAGTATTGTTTAAAAAAGAATTTTATCGTTTCGAGCGCTTTTAAAATTGAACGAACCTGGCACGATTATACTATCGAAAAATTATAGGATAGAAAAAATTTTATGCAAATATATAAAAAAAGGTTATCTGTAAGAGGTTGCCCTAGCGATATGACCGCTTTTTGTACTTTTTATGTATATATTTTAATCTGTACTTTATGCTACTATATTTCACTTTTTAATTGTCATTATATATTTTTATGTTTCTGATGCAATAAAAAGTTAAATAAACACTTAAATCTCCATGCACGATCACGGTATTACGTCGTGAGTGTTCACGATATCGCGCTGGGAAATTGCAAGTATCTCCATACAATTGCATACTTTTCGTATCCCTACTATTCGTAACAATAAAATCGTGTCGTGTCGTATCGTGAAAAGAGGCTGTTAACTATTTAAGAATACTCATTAATGCCCATAATTTTTGTACGTTTCAAGAAAGTTTATAAATTAAAAAACTTTAAAATCGCTACTTTCAAAATTGTTCGAATTGATTTACAAAGTGTAATAACGACTTGATACTTACCAATAAATAAATTCTATTTCTCTTTCCACCTAGACAAGGTTAAGATTCCATGAACTCTTTATTAGCCTATCGAGGGGCTGTTCTTCGATAAGCCTCCTTTTGGGTGGACGTAAATATTTACATTAAATATAGGTAAATTCTCTGTGTGCTCCGCGTGCTGATGAAATGACAAGACCACGGTGTGATGCAAATGGCCGTGAGATACAAAACATGGCGCGCGAATGGCCGTGAGATACAAAACATGGGGCTTATGTTGTGTTGATGTGAGGACACAGGAGTGCCATTAGGTTGTCAAAAAAACCATAATATAACATATTTTGTCTCACCTTCCGTTAGAATTCCGGAACAATGCCAATATCTCTTCGAAGGTCTTATTTTTTGTTTCAGGAACTTTTTTATACGTAAATATCCAAAAAATCGCAAGGAATACACTAAAAGGCAGGAATGTATAGTTTTCCAGTAGTGCCTGTAACAAGGGAGGAATATTTATTAACAACCAGCTATATATATCCCGCGGCTCTGCGCGCGTGAATTAGCACATAGAGTATTATATGTGTTAAGTTGGGATATAACCCAAGCACAAAATTTTATTCAAATTTGTTCAGTAGTTTTTATATAAAAGAGTAACAAAAATTCATCCATACATCGTTACAAACTTTCGTATTTATTATATTAATAGGATTATTATAAATGCCCCTCAAGAAATGTGAGAACCAGCACCTACAGATGCTCTTAAAGATTTTTATTTTTATATCATGTTGCAACCGTTGCCTATAGACATCAATCTCTTTACACCAAGTTGCTCTATTTATGGTGATAAAAATAATATAAACACATACCTACAAGAAAAATTAACTTCCTAACTATAATATTTTCTATTTTTTTTAAATGCTTTGAAATTTACAAATTAAGCATAGTTCTTAATTATCTGCTAGAGGAAGATTTACTAAGTTGAAAAACAGTTTCTGTTAATTATACCAAAATTATCAATTTCAAAATTCAAATCTTTTAACATGGCACTAATTTTTTTTTTGTTTTGATTGGTTTATTTGGTTGATTCAAATCCTGTCAACTTACCTTCATGGTAGGAAAGCCGATCCCCACAACGAAATTGGCCATCCAATTAACTAATACAGCAATCGCCATCGCGCTCGGTCGCGGCCCCTGCGAGAACAACTCGGCGGTGATCAGCCACGGTATGGATCCGGGCCCGACCGCGAAGAACACCACGAAACTCAGCGTCGACACCACAGACAAATAGCTCATCCAGTCTATCATTTCCTGCACATACCCGAAGAACTCCTATCAGGGGATAGCAATGGTGCTCTTTCCCGTCGCCGACCGGATCGAAATAAACCACAAACATAAATGCACATCACACACCCGTCAATGTATGTGTCGGTCTGACTGCGCGGACTGGCTTTCGTACCAGTTTGTGCTGTTGTGACAAAAACTATATAGGCGTCGTCGGATGCCCTCCACCGGTTCGTGCTATGTGAAGTACCCTTTACTATCGGCTGTACTGCGTATGCTAGTGAACGGTGCCTTCTGCTTCTGAGCAGTGTTGTGTGAACCAAGTATCGCTGTCGTAACGCGTGCGCCAGAGCTCCCCGTGTGACTAAGGTGCGCCCCACAAAAGCATGCCTTTGGACTAAATAAAATTAAATTGGACGTTGTCCCTTTCGACGTGGAGTTAGACTAAATGAAGCTGTGCTTACTCTTCAAATTTTAAAGACACTAAGATCATTTTATAAGCCTTCTTCTTTTAGAAGTCAGATGAAATTTCTAAGAGAAGAAGATTTTCAATTCGGTTGTATTTTTTTTAATGTTTGTTGCCTCATAAATCCGTCAGTTCTAGACCGATTTGAAAAATTATTTTTTTATCTGATAAAATATATTTGTTAATTGGTACCATAGATATTTTATCAAAATTGGTTAAAGTTGTTTAGTTTTGAAATAAAAATAACTGGTTTTGCCAGAATTAAAATCGGTTTTCTGTGACTGAATGAATGTTTTTTTTTTTTTTATTAAAAATTGGTAATTGGTAGCAGATCTTAAAGTTAATTACTAGTTCAGCAATATTAAGGACCAATATTATTTATTATTATATTTTTTTTATAGTGTTATTTTTTTTTATATTTATATTTTAATTATGGCAACATGGGTGTGTAATTGTTCAATGTTTTATGGAACACATATTATATCAATGCTTGTTTGTTTGCGCGTACTATTTCGTAAGTTCTTGCTTGTAACTTTAAGTCTAATTTTTAAATCCATTTAGTTTCAATATTCCTTTATTTTACTCTACATCTTGTTAAGCGCTCTTAGTCCTTTTAGTTTAACTCCACTTTTACAAGTTTCAAGATTAAAAGTCAACAATTTGACTTTTAAAACGAAACCCTACGTCAATAGCAACAGGTCCAATTTTGTTTACTAGTCTCAATGGTATACTTTTCTGGAACGTAGTCTACCATCGGTATATCGTCTCATTATGTTAGTGGTGAACAAACAACGTGTTTAAAATTTATAGTGCTGTGTGAGTGATGTCTCTATCATTTATATTTGATAATTTATTTCGTTACATTATGCTTTCCTACCGAGAGTCCGGTTTCGGAAACAGGAAAGTCTAATGGGGTGGGGGCCTAGCGAGAAGCGGAAGCAAATAAAACGTGGTGGTGGTATAAAAAAAAACGAAACGGGTTGTTGAAAAAAGCTGTGCATGCATTGGCTTGGAAACTGCATCTATAGATTGTTATAATAGAAACTAACAAAGTTCTTAGTGTTAGTTGGATAATGGCTGTTTTTGCAATGGCTTTAACGTTTAAAATGTAGTGATCGAAGCTTATTGAAAATCAACAGAACTGAGTTAAAGGTTCAGATATAGAATTTTTAACTATAATAGTAACAAATTTCAATGTAGAAACTGCAAGGGAAGCGGCGATGAAGCGTGCGGAAGCAGCTATAGTTTGTATTTGTTCGTAAAATGAAATCAAGATTTATATTTCTTTTCTAAAGAAGGATATTAGGTATTTTCGTTTTGAACGTATGTAAATCTTGATTCATAATACCAACAATGATTTAAAGACCAAAGTTTGATATTGTCAAAAAACGTTGGTCCTTAATGAACTTAAGATTAACATCTTATATTAAAATTCAATAGGATCACAGAAGAGTTAATATAAATATTGATAAGATGAATGCAACTAGATACAATGAAAGTAAATATTCACTTTTATTTTGAAACTTAAATTGTATGAGTGAGTATATAATTTAAAAAACTCACAATTGTAAATTGTGTTAAACAAAAATATTATATTTATATTAAATTCTGTTGATCCTATCGAAATATTTAACAGTCTTTGGGGATTTACAGAAACATAGATAATAATTTGACATAGAGAACTGCTTTTTATTAGCGAGGAATTTTTTTTACTTATTTTTTTTTATTTTTTCGAATTTCGTGTGACTTACAGTTATGAGGTATCAATATTTTGACATACTAATTATCGCTTACGGAAAGTACTATAAACTGGTTTTATAGAATTTAATGGAAATGTAAATAAACAATTTAAATTGCCCGACAGTAAGACAATCTAATGATGTTTTATAGTAGTAAAAATCAAAGATCGATTAATTAATTTGTTTCGATTTATTACTAATGTTGTATAAAGAATATTTCTGTTATAACTTCAACTTGGCCACATTTTTATTAAAACATTCTATACGGCCAGAATGATCAAAATGTTACATAGGTTAAAGTCACACAAAATTCAACTCATCTAACCAGCAAGTTCCTTATTTCTTTCATACCACAAAAAAGGAATAATAAGCATATGGTACGTGACGACTTAGCATCACGCGAGCTTTATGCTTAAAGTTACCTTACCAGTGGTGTCACTCACGTGTTACCGATCTTTGTACCATGACGATGTTAAGTACCCAATAAATATACTACCATGTCTCCCTTTTCAAATATAATATAGCTTAATGGGGGAAATAGGTGAGATAGGTACATTCATCCTTGAGAGTAATCTGCGGTCATAGACAAAGAACATTTACAGTTTAGTACATAAATAATTACACCCCAGTATAATTTGGTGCCCAACCCAAGATACAAGCGGATTGTAAAGGTATGTTTAATATATCCTGCATTTTTAAACGGCCAGATTTGTTTGAAATATAATCTTTAATACACTGATTTTGATTGAACAATCAAAAACATACAGTTGATTGTTTCATAGTGAATAGAAAAAATCAGAGCTTTACATATTATGATTTTCGGACCGCAAGATTCCGAGCTCTTATAGTGACAGTACGATACCGTGTTATGGCAAATTACAAAAACTCCAAATGTTCTTTGTCCGTGTCGGCAACAGCACTAGCGTTTTATAAGACACACCTTTATCAGAAACGAAATGGTGATGAATATGGAGAAGATGAACATTCCACCGAGCCCGTAGAGGTGGAGGGTGCGGCGGCCGGTGCGGTCCATCAGCGGCAGTGAGACCAGCGTCATGCCCACCATGATGGCGCCGATGCCCATGGTCGCAAACTTGGCGGACTCGTCCGTCAGGCCGGAGGATGTGAACAGGATTGTGGAGTAGTAGAACACCTAGTCATAATAAAAATCACAATTGATGACCACACTGACATAATTTTGACATAAATAAAAGAACCAGAATAGGAAATGGACTGTTTATAAACACGTACTAACATCAGAAATATGGGAGAATTTTATATTTTATACAAACAATTTATATGTATATGTATTTGTATAAGCAAACGACTTTGTACAAAAGTCGTTTGCTTGGACACCTCTCTCCCATTCGTGTTTCTATCGTGAAGCAGTTGTGTTTGCATAGCTGTGTTTCGGTTTGAAAGGTGGGATATGGCAGCGAATTTACAGGGTACAGAGGAATAACACCTGAGTCCTCAGGAATGGCAACGCATGGAGGGTATCATGGGCGAAACAGTGTACTCTGTTATGTCCATGGTAGTGCTCATATCTGTAGGAGACGGTTACCACTTTTCATCAGGTGGGCCGTCAGCTTGTTCGTCATTCTAAATTGCATAAAAAAAAAGTTAATTACCGGTTACCATACTTACAGCGTTAATTCCACTGAGCTGTTGCGACAGTTGCATCACGACGCCAATAAGCAGGGGTGCGCGCAGAGTTGGCGAACAGAGAAGTTCCCTCATAGAAATAGACGCTTCAGCTTGCTGGGCCCGTTCTTCTGCTCTCATCTCTTCTATATCTTCTTCAACCTGTGTGAGAAGGAAACACACGTTATTACGTGTGGTGCTGACAGAGGCATCATACTTCGTTATCATCAGTTCAGCAATTATCTGTCCACTGCTGGACATAGGCCTCCCCCATAGACCGCCATAAGGAAAGGGCCTGAGCCACCTGCATACACCGACTCTCTGCAATGACGTCTGCATTTGACGTCGTCACTCCATTTAGTAGGGGGTCTTCCTACACTGCGGTTGCCGTACGGGGTCGCCACTCAAGAACCTTTCTTCCTCATCGGTTGTCGGTTCTTCGAGCTATGTGACCAGCGTAATGTCACTTCAGTTTGCTTGTCCTTGTATCATTGATATTTTCGTGTCACGTGTTTTTTGTTCAAGAATTTGTCATCGCATCGGAAGAGATGGCTTTTATCGATAAGATCGCCCATTGTTTTTTTATTGTGATTATTGCTTGTAATTGTTTATATATGTAATAAGTTTACTATTGTAATCTTTTGGAGGAAACAATAAAGAGTATCTATCTATCTATCGCCTGGAAACTCATTATATAATATATCCATTCTATTCACTTTAAATACTACACATTTATCACTTTTTTTTACTATTGAATGGTCCAGTCATTGATTTCATGTTACCTGGTGGAAAGTGATGACGTCTAAGTTCGCGGGCCCACGAATAGCCTATTCATATTTGGAGAGAGTTTTTCAACAACAAGTGACAGAGGGAAAAGGGATTGTTACTAATGGGATTTGACTGCCTCATTGGTAACATGTACCCTACCACAGAGGTGGCCTACTTGACTAGACCCAAGGTCTACTGTTTACTGACGAAACCCTGTGACATCTACCAATTACATACTTCTTGAAATTTCTAATGAAACAACATAATTCAGTACACAATTTTGTAGTATTGTAATATTTTTTATTTTATTAAGAGGGATTATTAAAAATATAATGCTAAATTATTCTTAGTAATTACTTATTTATATTAGTGTGAGTATTGCGTTTGAGCAGCTTTTACTAGTTTAGCAAAATATTATATATTTTTTTTATATTGTCAAGATCGACTGGACTAATAGTCGCGATCGACCGGTTGTTCGCCCCTGTCCTATCAGGTTGACCTCCACGCGGTTCCGCCTAGAAACTATCGTGATTAACTCTTGTGGAATTCATTACAATAGTTTAACTGACCTGTTTTCATCTTTATCTATCATTCCTTACTTGTGCCCCGTCAGCGTATACTAATAGCGTAGGCGGAGATACAGTTTCATGTTCACCCATAAAACAAAAACAGCAAGAGACGGAGCAATCGTTCAATTGCTATTATTGTATTTACCTACTTAGGTTTATTACTTGTTAATCAATTTTTCTCATTTCTTACTATCATGCGCCTTACCTGGTTACTAGCTCTTAGCCTCCGCAATGCTCGCCGCGCCTCTTCTTCCCATTGGCGAGTGATTAGCAAGTACCGCGGGGACTCGGGGCAAGCTGGTAGCAGTATGAGTTGCAGGATCGCCGGACAGATAGCCAACCCTGCATGAACATCAACCAATGGAAATCGCTTAGTATTAGCTTATTTTATCACACAACACAATAACTGTAAATGCATTTTTTAGAAGTTGTTAGTTAAGATTTTTTTTTATACAACTTAGAATGGCAAACAAGCTGACGGCCCATCTGATGGAAAGTGGTAACCGTCGCCTATAGACATGAGACGTAACAGAGTATACTGTTTCGCCCATGATACCCGCCATGCGCCGCCATTCCTGAGGACTCAGGTGTTATTCCGCTGTACCCAGTAAATTCTATATAATAAATGTATAATATTAATTTGATAATAGAATCAAATATGTTTACAAGACAACCTGTCGTTCATGTGTGTCTTATTGCTTGGTAATTATCGTGCCGTGTCGTCCTAGCATACGTAGAATGGTCCACCCCTTCCTTTCTCATGAGTATCATAAGAGGCCACTAAGGGAATCATTAGATCGAGAGATGGGCTGCAGCTTTTCTCCTAAAACACAAAGTTTGCTAACCCGCTTGCCAAGCGTGGTAACTACTGGCAAAACCCTCCAAGGGGAGGCCTATATTCAGCAGTAGACTGCTAACAGCTGATTTAATAATAGAAAAATATCGTGGAATTTTTTTTTTTTTACTACACAGGAGGCAAACGAGCATGCGGCTCACCTGATGGTAAGTGACATAACACCAACGGCATTGCAGGTGTGCTGCCGGCCTTTTAAAAAGGAATATGCTCTTTTCTTGAAGGCCACGTTGTCGTATCGGTTCGGTTGAGAGGTGGATAGGCGATTGCGGATACTCACCAAGCAAGATGGGCCACCCGTCATCGGTGCCCAGTATTTGCTCGATGCCGAGCACCTGTGACAGCAACAGGCCTACAGTGACCGCCAGCTGGTTGACGGTGCCCAGCCCGCCGCGCAGATTCAATGGGGCTATCTCCGATATGTACATTGGCACTAGTGATGTATTTAGTCCTGGAACCGAACACATTGTCTCATATATTTTTGTTTAATGATACAGGAACGGGGGAATGGGATTGTCAATGCGGTATACCAGTCTTCTAATGGGTGAAAATGGAATGGTAACCCCGTCTGCGCTATCGGTATACACCGACGAGGCACCAGTGAAAGATGATAGGTGACAATGAATGCAGGTTAGTTGGCCCACCATGATGAATTCGACAAGAGTTAACCATGTTGGTTTTCAGGGGGAATCACGTGGAGGTCGACCTAAGAGAGTATATTGCTAGCAATGGGGCTATTAGACCACATTACCAGCAATCCCTTTCCCCCCGCGAACTACCAGTCCCATTGCTAGCAATATACGCTGTTAGGTTGATCTACACGTGGTTCTCTCTGCTAACCATCGTGCTATATTCCATCATGATGGGCTAACTGAACTGCTTCTTCATTGACACCTATCATCTCTCATTGGTGCCTCGCCAGCGTATACCATCAGCGCAGACGGGGTAATCATTCCATTATCATCTATTAAAAAAAAAAAATACAATAACCTCGCCTGTGTCTATCGGTATGCCCTGACGGGGCACAGTGAGAGATGTTAGGATATTTTGAAGTCAGATCAATTGGCTCATTGTGATGAATTTACTATAATGGTTTATAGGGAGGGCCATGCGGAGGTCGACCTGACAGAGTATAACAGTATACTTAGTAGTGAAGATGTTAGATCCCATTACTAATAACTTCTGCGCCTTGGTTCACATATCCTGTAAGTAGATTTTTTAATTTTTTCAATGGATGATAATGGAATGGTAACCTTGCCTGCGCCAACAGTATACACTTGCGGGGCACCAGTAAGGAGTGATAAGTGAGGATGAGAGGGCAGGTCAGTCAGTCCATTGTGATGAAAACACCTGGAGTTCAGCACGATCGTTTCCAGGGGGGATCACGTGGAGGTCGACCTGATAAGGTATATTGCTAGCAATGAGACTGTAGTCCGCATAACTATCAATCCCTTCTCCCCTGTAAGTAGTATTGTATTAAGACTCAAAATAAATCTCTGTACCAAGCCATTTGACCACCGTCATAGTAGTAAGCTGGAAACTCTTCGCATTGGGAAGACACGTAGTAGGAAGGTGAGGTTGCTATGGTAATACTTACCGCAGTTGACTCCGATGATGAACCTGCCGAAGATGAGCAGCTCGTAACAGTGTGATATCTTGGTGAAGCCCATGAGACTGGCGCCGCTGATGCCGAGGATGTTGTTGAGCAATAAACCGCCTTTCCTGTTGATCAATACATACATACATATATATTGTTATTGATACTTCATTTCTACAATCTTTTTAGAATGGAAATCGGCGGGTTATGGAGAGGGCTATGCTCGGAGTCTCTTTGCGTGATAGAATCCGAAACGAGAATATCCGAAAAAGAACCGACATAGCCCGAAGGATAAGCAAGCTGAAGTGGCAATAGGCTGGTCACATAGCTCGAAGAACCGACATCCGATGAGGAAGAATGTTTCTTGAGAAGCGACCACGTACGGGTAAACGCAGTGTAGGACCCCTCACTAGATGGAGTGACGACTTGAAATGCGTTGCAGGGAGTCCGTGGATGCAGGTGGCTCAGGACCGTTCTTTATGGCAGTCTATGGAGGAGGCCTATGTCCAACAGTGGACGGATAATGATTGAAATGATGATGATGATGATTTAGAATGGCAAATAAGGTTTACGATCCATTTTATGGAGACTGGTTACCAATGTATTAAACTACTAAACATATAGAGATGTAACATTGCAGTATGTGGCGTTAATTATTTACTAACATCGCGCTGCACTCAGTGTAATGTTATTAACATATTAGTCGTTAACTGTACATTGTTGATGACTGTACACTGTAGAACCATAGATTATATGGGAAATGAGTGAGACGGCGAATTGGCCTTCAACCTGAGCAAACCATATTTCGGGTTTCTCCGGCGCGCAACCTCGCATGCGCTGTTATTCATAATTTATTTTCCTACAGAAATTCAAAAGGTTTAGTTATATATAAAGGTTTGTTATATATACAATATATATACGCCACAATTATTTAGATAGAGCCTTAAGCCTTAAACACGCGTCAACTTTTTGACAGCTAATTGTCAAATTAGCTCACTCGTTTTTTTATCAGTGTTCTACTCGTCTATACTAACGCACATAATGTATTTTAACGTACCTATATATATTTAATTATTTAATAAATAAAATTAGTTCTTTACGCATTAAAAAGACGCAAAAAAATAAAAAAAAATAAAAACAAAATAAATATACAAGTTATAAAGGAATCACTCATAACTATTTATCACGCAAAATTGTATGTAAAGTTGACCCGCTTTTCTCGAAGCATTTGTATGGAGATACTCTATCTATCTAATCTAAGTGTAGCACATATAGCTTCCTTGGGCGGTTTTCTTAATGGTTACCATACTTAGCAGGAGATTGGCAACCACGTTTAGGTTTTAGTGATGTATAAAGCGAGATGTTGCTGTCTATCCCTCGACTCTTAACCTTATAAACTATTTTTTTTAACCGATTTGTATTAATAATGTGTCGTATCACATTCCAATTATTCGAAAGTGTAGAAAATATAACAATGTATGTGCTTGCTATCTTCCAACAATCTTTGCAATGTTATATTAAAACTGTAATTTTTTTAATTTAAATCTATAGCCGCTATTTTCCTAATGTCTATAAAAGTGAATGTAATGCAGAATATTTATTGGAGAACAAATTTGTTGCTATTTTATGTAATATTTATTTTATTAATGTATTGATTTGTATTTTTTTATGCAACTTAGAATGGCAAACAAGCTGACGGCCCACCTGATGGAGAGTGGTAACCGTCACGTATAAACATGAACAGTACCATGGACATGATAGAGTATAGTGTTTCGGCCATGATACCCCCCATGCATATGTATCCTGTACGCTGTAAATTCACTGCCATATCCCACCCTTTAAACCGATACACAGCCATGCAAACACAACTGTTTCACGGTAGAAACACGAATGGAATAGAGGTGCCCAAGCAAACGACTTTTGTACAAAGTCTCCCTCTGGTGTATTCTGTTACTTTGCTATAAATAAATACCTTCCGAATCGATTGGCAATCATTCCACCAGAGAAGCCACCAAGCATGCCGCCGATGGCGAAGATACTGACAGCTATAGAGTACAGTCTGTTGACAGTGTCGTCGTGCAGGTCCATGCCGTACCGGTTCTTGTATACGTCCTTCATGAAGTTAGCGATGTTCTGGGGGCAATTTTATCAAATTTTAAGATCTGCTACTGGTGACCACCAATATTTAGTAAATAACAATCATTTATTCATTCATTCGACATGTACTTAGGGCAACAGATTAGACAGGTTCGAGGTTTTTTTTTTAATATTATTTTAAGGGCTTTTACCTTCTTCAGGTATATCAGTCCTATTGTACCCTGAACTGATTTCTCAAAAAAAAACTTTATCTACCTTCCCTAGACGCGGAAAGAGAAGAATTAATGGGCATCAATAATTTACAGAGATGTTAAAAAATTTCTGGTTTCAGTTCAGCTAACATAGATTGAATAAGACCAACATTCAATTTATTTAAGTTAAAGTGGCGCATGAATTCTTCTCTTTCCTTCGTGTTAATACGACACTCTATTAGAATATGATGCACATCATCGATGGTATTACAAGTTTGACAATGGGGTGACAAGGACTTTCCCATTATATGTGCAAATTTTTTTGATGGATAATGACCAGATCGTAGTCGAACAGCTAATTTAATACTGTACCTATTGATTTTAATTCCACAAAACCAAGGAATTCAGCCTGAATAGTTTTATACCAAATGCCTTTTTCTTTTGGTTCGAGGTTAATGTTCTTTAATGATTATAAGTAGAAGTTCGTATGGGATGTAAGTTTACGTTGGCGTATTACTTCTCACTGGTGCCTACTAGTGAAGTATAACGGATAAAGTTAGGGGGGAAGGGATTGTTAGTAATAGGGAGGTAAGTCTTCTTTGCTATCAATTTACCCTATCAGGTCGAGCTTCATGCGGTTCTTCTTGGAAACCATCTTGACTGATTTATAGTTGAATTCGTCGCGATTGGATCAAGTGACCTACTTTCATTCTCATCTGTCATTCCTCACTGGTACTCCGCCAATGTGTACGGATAGGCGGGGTTACCATTCCATTATCATTATTTAAAAGAGATTATGGTCGACTAAAACCGAAGGCGATCTACAGTCGTAAAACTAGTAATCGATTTTAACACGTATGCAGTATGTATGCGTCTTATTTATGATACCAGCCCCTCCCCTTCCTGGGCATAGTCTTACTTATTTCAATAATTGTAACATTGTAACATGTTACACTGAATTCGAATGATAAAGGTCAATCGCTATCGTAAAAGTGTTGAAGTCGTAATCTACATAAGTACACGGTCATTGTGAAAACTACATTACGATAAAATTTTAACTTAGTCGCTTGCTTTAGAATTCACATCAAGTACATATATTGAAGTTAGACGGAACGTGTAACAGATGGAATTGATGACATTTTAAGTATACATAGTATTTTATGTTTTTAATCTTTTGACAGATTGATTTATACAACGTATAATACATACATATCTGTCACGCCTGTCTGCCATTAGGGTAGGCAGAAACAATGGAACGCCAAATGCTTCGATTCAAACGAACCACTTTCCCTTCTTCCACATTCATAAATCTTTTCATACGGTTACGGGTACTTTTAATTTGGATCGTCTTCAGCACGTCGCCTATTACATACGTGGACATACATCCATCTAGGGCGGTCCCTACTGATATCTCCATTCATTCTTGTACGATAAATCTCTTTCGTAACTCTTCTTTCATCCATCCTCTTCAAACGGCCAAACTAACGCAACATTCCCTTTTTGATTTTCTTCACTACATCGTCTTTCAATCCATTCTTCTCTCTAATTACACTGTTTCTCACTCTATCAGCATCGTGTAATCTAAATAGGTAACGGGAAACAAAACTTAAAAAGAATGAGGCCACATCTCCAATTGTTACTTGCTACGTCTAACACGTTTTATAATTCTTGGTATAATAGTAATTATGTCAGTACTCACCTTTTGTAATAAATTAATTAATTAGTAAATAAAAGAGTATTAAATATGTTTGACTATGAAATTTCGAATGTAAGTAAATGCCTTTTATTCTGTTACCATCCGCTAATAAATGATCTTAAAATTCCCTTGAAGTTCAACTGTTTAGTAGAAGTAAGTTTTTTACACAATTTCGAGTAACAAACAAGCTGACAGTTCCCCTGATGGAAATTAACTGTTACCTATATACGAGTAAAAAGAGGATTATATTATACGTTCGAACCCTAGAATTTCACTGCTGTATACCTTTAAAATCGAAACACAAGCTATCAAAGCATAGCTACATTATGGTAAAAACATAAGAGGAGAGGAGGGCAAAGTTATCAAAGCAGTTGACATTTGTACGGTTTCAAATTCAAATTCAACACGGCAGGGGGCAGAGTTATCAAAGCAGTTGACTTTTGTACGGTTTCCCTCTGTTTGTATATCTACTGACCTAATTACGTTAGAAAAACATACTCACTTTGCCAGGAGCGTTAATGACACCCGTGTTGTAACCAAACTGCAGCATTCCGAGTACTGCGGCCAAGATGGCGTACGATAAGAAGAAGGTTAAGCCCTGAAACAAGAATACGAACAATTTCAAATGGAAATCAAATTGATAATGAATATGGTTACAGTCGTGTTCAAATATGACCAGATCCATGGCCATCACATATGTAAGTGAAGCCCATGGTAACATTGGCACGTTACCATTCTCGAGGACGATAGTGTAATACTGTCGTACACAGGGTTTTTTTTTTCAGGTACAATTTAACTGCCATATCCAACCTTTCAAATTAATCACTCTTTTTTTTATACAACTTAGAATGGCAAACAAGCTGATGGCCCACCTGATGGAAAGTGGTAACCGTCGCCTATAGACATGAGCAGTACCATGGATATAACAGAGTATACTGTTTCGCCCTCATGCGTTGCCATTCCTGAGGACTCAGGTGTTATTCCTCCGTATCCAGTAAAGCACGCTATATCCCACCCTTCGAACCGAAACACAGCCATGCAAACTCAACTGCTTTACGGCTGAAACACGCATGGGACAGAGGTACCCAAGCAATCGACTTTTGTACAAAGTCTCCCTCTGGTGAAATACTCTCTCTAATAAACACAGCTGTTTTCCGGTAGAAACAAAAGTGGTACAGTATCCACGTACTTTCATGTAAAGTTTCCCCCTGGGCATTGCAAGTGACCTGTTCAACGGGTGAAACACAGGATCATGCAGACAACTTTTACAGTCTACTTTTGGTCTGATTGTTGCAAGTCACCTGTTCAAGTAGCCTGAGCTTCCGCCGCTGCGAGTGCTCCTCGAGCCTGTCGACGTACTCCCGCAACTCCTCGATCTCCTCTTTCACCTGCTGCACCGTATCCAACTCCTGCTTGATGGCAACCATATCGCGTTTCACCTGTGCAATTTTACATTCACATTAACACTGGCCCTTTTAAAAGCACCAATAAAACTGGGAAAAGAAAATTCTGAACACAGTGATAGCATTCCGGCATCGAAAGGCAAAGTGCACAAAGTGCCACTTTGTTATTGAGTTATAAATAATTGAGTTTAGTTTTTGTTCCGCGTCCAATGGTATATTTAATAAATTAATCAGCGCTAGGTGGTAGCGATTTAGCCAAGTCAAAAATGGTCTAACATAAATTTTTCTTCGATTTACACTCGACATACTCGTATTATGTAGTATATTTTCTATTAATATTACTTATCTGAAAAATACAAAGATCTGTTTTTTTTTTTAACGGTTTTTTCATATATTTACAATACTGCCTATTTACCACTCATTTTGTTTTTTCGTTTCATTTTCTGCTCTCAAGTAATTATTCACTAAATGGTGTTTAATATATTTTGTCTTTGTTTTGTCAATTAATTTTGAAAGAACAAATAAAATAGTGTTTGTAATCAGTGTAGAAATATATACACCTGTTAGTTAGTATAGTTAATTTACCATATCAGCCAGCCTCCCCTTCATGGGGTTTTGCAAGTACTTGCCGCGCTTGGCAGGTGGGTTGGAAAGCGCAGTTACGCTTTGATGACGTAAGAGAAATGCTATCGTCTAATATATATATATATGTTATAATTAATTAATAATCATCACTTCCAGGTAACCTTTTTCAGTATATTTATAAGTACATATGTTTATAACGTATTTATTTGAACATAATTTTTTTTTTTTAATGAAAAGAAAATAATATATTTACCAAATTGTAACGTTCATTAAATTTAACGTTTATGGACAAATTGAAGACGTATTTCACCTTTTAATGGAATGTAATAGGAATGAGAAAGAGAAATGTTTCTGAAGAAATTTAATATTAATTTGTAAGATGTTGGCATTGTTCAGAGTATCCTGCGTATCCCAACTTCTGAAGTCACCTTGAGTTTTTGTCATCTTGTAAGGCACCATCTTGGGAGACTCTTTCTTTTCAGTTTCTTAGTTGAGTTTATTGAAAATTTACTATTTAATATGTCGAAACAATTCTTCATTTATCGGTACGTTTTATTCGTTTTAAAATATAATAGTAATAGTGACTATTAATCAATGAGTTTTTTACAAAAAAAGACTGTGATATTTTCAACGTTCAACTCTTCTATGTGAGATTTTTTTCGACCATTTTAAATATTTGAACCTATTTGGATGTATAGTCTCATTAGAAAACTTAGCTCATCACGAATAAGATAGACTTAATTTATATATATATATATATATATATATATATATATATATATATATATATATATATATAAGAATAGTTCGTTTTTAACAGAAAGAGTAGCGTTTTTAATTTACGCAGCGAAATGCACTTGTTTGTTACAATTAAACTGGCTGTGTTTTAGCTGAGTAAAATCTAGCTACTACATTGTCCACTGCCATATTATTATGTTTCATTACTATAATAATATGCTATTATGTTTCTCACTAATATGCTATAATGTTTCTCACTAATATGTTATTATGTTTCTCACTACTATAGTATTATATTTCTCGTACTATTGCCTGCCTACAACTGTTTTAAAATGAATAGTAATATTGGAAAACCAGATATGTAGTTTGATTATGCTTGCGTCAGTTTACTAGTTAACTGAATCCCACAGCGGGTGACCGCCCGTGTAGCATGTATCTAATACATACATAATCGCCCTTGAGAATTAATCTAACCAATGGATTAAAACTAAAATAGTATTGTTCAATACTTTTGTAGATTAACCTGCAGTCTACACAATGCAACAGGAGATAGTTAGCGGGCATTCTTATAACTTTACCGTTCTATTGGAAGCTTTTGGACATAGTCGTATTATACTCGTATTATCATTTTTTTTTTATTTTTAGTTTATTATGATTTAGCATTGAAAAATACCAATAAATTCAAATTTTCACCCTTTTACGATCAATTCAAGTTTTTTTTAATTGCGATTTTTATATTCCGGAATAGGGTCGCAAAATGGCAATGCAATATAATAATTGTAGTAGCATAAATTTTCATGTATAGTTCTCGAACTAATGTATATGATAAAACAACGTTTACTGGGTCAGCTAGTATTATCTGTTAAGATATTTGTTGCTATTAGAAGACAGGGGGCGTTCCATTTAAGTAGCAATGATAAAGTGTCATCATCATCATCATTTCAGCCACTATTCGTTCACTGCTGAATGATAAAGTATATTAAAAAGTATTCAAGATCATCGAGGATATATTGATGATATTTTTTTGCTATTTTGCACTCGTTTTTACGACTTCCTTTAAAAGACGAAGGTTGACATTATAGGCGTATTAAGAGGGGGGGAGGGGGCTGTGCCCATCGCAGAATCGTCTAGTGCCCCAACCCCCAAGATGCAAGCAAAGCTTCGCAAAGATTTGTCTGAGAGGCCATATGCGTCCTTTTTCAAGGTGCCCCATGAAAATAATTTAAAGTACACGAAGGGATATCACTGGAATATTCATTGATGCATATTCGCTATTGAAGTTTTTTTTTTTATCTTTAATGTACAGTAAAATTGTATATAAATGCATGTATGTTATTTTTTCTAGCGAAGAAAAGTACGGACGTACGTACGGAACGAGAAAAGGTGCCACTCACCTCGGAGACCTCACTCTGGCATGACTCGACGCTCTTGGTGAGTTCCTGGAGCTGGGTGCGTATCTCGCAGAGCGCCACCGTGGTCTCCAGCTGCCTGTCACCCCGCTGCAGGTCGTCCAGTTTCGCGGACAGATTCATGCTCATCACGCTCACCTGTCTTTGAAGGCTGCCACAAAACGACACCAATTAATCCTTACTAATTAGTAATTACAAATGTGAATGTATGGTCGTTTGTTATTTTTTTTTTATTTATTTATTCATTAGTACATATATGTGTACATGGCGGATTTAATGCTAAAAGCATTCTCTCCCAGTCAACCATAGGGAAGTGTCAGAATACTAGAATGCGGTACTAGTAATTATTCATACACATATATACTAAAATTACATATATAAACTAATATATATATATAAATAAAAAATATATTTACACATATATGACATGTACTATATTATACACGAAGTTGAGAATAATATAAAATACTTATTTCTTAGCGTTTTAACGGCTCAACCGATCGTCATGCAATTTGTTATACACGTAGGCATTATATGGGATGGAGAGGTATATAGGCTGTTATTCATTTAGTTCAATCAACACCCCGGCCTGAATTTGGTTTGAAAAAAACCAAACAGACATTTGAGGAAAAATTATAAAAAAAATTTGAGCTCCCGATATTAACACGGTTCAAGCCGCTATCATATTGTCAGTGATACTGTCCCATTGCTTGCAATATACCATATCAGGTCGACCTCCACGCGGTTCTCTATGGAAACCTTCGATTAGTTATTTAAAATTCGTCACGACGAACCAACTGACCTGCTTCATCATCTTCACCTATCATTTCTCACTGGTGGCTTGCCAGTGTACTCGTATACTGATGGGGGTCACTATTTCATATTCCTTCTTTTAAAAAAAATATAGTTATCAGATAACTCATTTTTTTTTAACAAAATGTTCAGTTTCACTGATGGAATACTCTATTAGGAATAGGATGTTAATAATTTTAAAATCATCCTACTTACATATATGTTATATGCAACTGTACGGAGACGTTTTTAAATTTCCTTACACGTTCACGCTATTCCCATGCCATGCACGTCCACGATATCGTAGTGAAAAATTCAAGGTATCGTGATGTGTTACAGTCAATTTTAAAAGCGCCTATTAAATACAAAAATAAAATTAAGTAATACAGAAAGTATCGCTATTAAAAAACAAAAAATCTTGTGTATTACTAAAATTCCGAATTGCCTTTTTTTTATTATTCTCTAGTAAAAATTATGTCATATTTAAATAAATTAATTATAAGTTGTGAGTCGTGGTTTCCAGTGGTTTGAACACTTTGTTCGAAAAACATCTAAGATAGTCACAGTATAAACTCGCTCAGTTGAAGTGAAACGCGCCCTAACGATGTACGATTTATTAAAATTATTGCATTTAGCGCTTAAGATCCCGAGACATTTAAACACATACATAAGCATTAGATATCTGGGACACTCAGCAACTGCGAGTTCTGTCCAATTTAGGTAAACATCTTTGAATTAGAGTCTTCAGAAAGCATTTTATAAAATACTTCCTTCTATATTCCGGGGTCATCGGCATTCCCGGGGATTCGAAGTTCAAAGGGTTCACCGAAGTTGGACAGGGGTGGCACTTGCTGCAAATTACCAATTTGACTTAAAAAGTCCGTTGATGGGAAAATTAAATTGCAGAATTTTTAAAAGAATCTCGGTCACATTGCGAAGGGAACTAATTAATTAAACAAATGGCAAATACAAGCTGAATATGGCTGATTGCAAGATTGTTAAACGAGTCGTAGTTACTAAATTACTGAGTGGCCAATGCTGCTGAATAACAAATATAAGATGGTCACATAAATTTGCATTTCGTGGTCATATAGAATAGTTAAAAGAAAATCTTTACTAATCCTAGTACTTTAGAAATAGAAATGTTTGTGACAATGACGGTCACGAAAAAACTGCTGAACGGATTTAAAGGAAACTTGGCATATTATAACATTGGATAGATTATACCCTGACGTAGAGCATAGGATACTATCTCAGATTATATAGATATAGCATCAAATCTTTTTTTTTTATGCAAATTAGAATGGCAAACAAGCTGACGGCCCACCTGATGGAAAGTGGTAACCGTCGCCTATAGACATGAGCAATACCATGGACATAACAGAGTATACTGTTTCGCCCATGACACCCGCCATGCGTTGCCATTCCTGAGGACTCAGGTGTTATTCCTCTGTACAAATACAACTGCTTTACGGTTAAAACACGAATGGAACAGAGGTACTCAAGCAAACGACTTTTGTACAGTCTTCCTCTGGTTGGAGTCTCTTAAATGGGTCGACTTTTTGTCAGCTAATTGTCAAATTAGATAACAAAAAAATATATATATATATATATATATATATATATATATATATATATATATATATATATATATATATATATATATATATATATATATATATATATATATATATATATATATATATATTACTATTATACAGAAATATAATAATATTAATAATATAAATATTTATCAACACGTATAACAAACTGTAGAATGCGGAATCATTTAAAAAGACCCCGTCGCTAGCTTAACTTTGAGCTTGAATTACATCCCAAGTGCAATAAATGCATTGTGTAAATAATAATAGTCTGTTAAAATTTAAAAAGTAACCAAGAAACAAGAAATTGTTATATGAATTCGTTTTACAATGTTGCATATTCATATAACTGGTAAATTTTAAGATTTTTTACACAGAACTTGGCACCCATATAGATAGCAATTCTTCTTCGGTCGAAATTACGTGTATTTGTCATATTGAACTTGGCTCTCATTTCACATTGATGTGATTAATTACTAAACGACCTGTTTTGTAGAATGTAACAGATCGATGAACAGCAAAAATGATAGCAGAAAAGAAATAAGAAATTGTTATATGAATTCATTTTACAATGTTGCATGTTCTTATAATATTTTTTTTATACAACTTACAATGGCAAACAAGCTGACGGCCCACCTAATGGAAATTAGTAACCGTCGCCTATAGACATGAGCAGTACCATGGACATAACAGAGTATACTGTTTCGATTATTGTATTCGTTATGTTCTTATAACTTGTAAATTTTAAGATTTTTTACACAGAACTTGGCACCCATATAGATCGTAATTCTTTTTCGATGGAAATGACGTGTATTTGTAATATTGAACTTGGCTCTCATTTCACATTTATGTTTTTGATGTGATTAATTATGAAGCGGCCTGTTTTGTTGAACGTAACAGATAGATGGACTGGCATGAATTGTTAATAAGCGTACCAATAATGAAAGTCCCATATTTAGATTAGTGTGTCAGGCGATAACATGTTTCGATCGGCCGTTTATAAATACGAAATCAAGTTTACGATATTACAAATGAGTAAGCATATCCTTGTTTGACGTGTGGAGTCTCGTGGGTTATTATGTTGATTGCGTACTTGTAAATAGACCGCGAGGCCTTTAAGTTTTTTTTTATTATAATTTACAATTTTTTAACCGCGACTTCCTTTCTAACAACTATTCTTTCCTTTCCCGTAGGTGTCTTAAGAGGCGACTAAGGGAATTTAATATACAAGGGATGGGTAGCAGCGTTCCTCTTAAAATGTCACCAAAGTATAACTGCGATTGCCAATCCACTGACCAAGCGGTGATAACCAATGGCAAAGCGGTAGTCTTAAGGTAGCATAAGGTACCATCAGGTGAGCTTCACGCTCGTTTGCCCCCTGTTTGGGGGAGGCTATATTCAGCAGTGGATTTAACGGCTGATATGACAATGTCAACTCGCGACTTTGCCCGCGTGACCGGGATAAAAGTTGTAAACGTTCTTCTGTATCTCATAACGTTAAGCCGTTAAGGTACTATAAGGTAACAAACAAAATCTGACATTTATATTATTAAGAAGTATTTTTTCGATGATTTCCTTTTTCATGATACTCGTATAAACTTTATTGATACGAACTTGAGCTGCGATTTCATACAGCAAACATTTGTTTAAGCGTAAAATAAAGAAATATATTCCGCGTTGAGTTAATACGTATTTAATAGATTACTTGGGTACAAATATTCTATTACCCAAGCCTATTAAATGCGTATTAACTCTGCGCGAAGCAAGTTCGAGTCACTGCTTATCGTGATGAATTTTTACTGTAATCTATGAAAATGACTGTAACCCAGTTGATACGCAAGTATTGAGGTCTAAACATGAGGATAGAGAAGTAAAAATTAAAGTTATACAGTAAAAGCTTCTTATTCACGATTCCTTTATCCGCGTTTTCACTATTCGCGGATTAAAAAAAATGCGATCCAATTCCTATATTCGCGGTTAAATATTTCTATATTCGCGGATCTAATCATTGCATATTAATAAAAAGGATTCGGTATACTTTGTAAACGCGTCGGCAAATGAATTAATAAAAAAGTAAAAGAGACCTTCTTACAACTACGCTTAAAGTATGTTGTCAAATGGCATTGCCGCTGTATAAGTGGTTCGGCTTTCTATATTCGCGGTTCACTTACGGAACGTACTCGTATACTCTGCTAATAAAAAACTTTTACTGTAGTTTAAGATTATGTTCCACAAAAAATCGACTTCAATTGTAGCAATACCAGTTATTTTGATTTAAAAACAAAATTATTAAACCGAGTTTGATAAAATTCTATTGGACCAATCTGAAAATATATCCTTTTAGATAAAAAAGAAAACAGAATTTTCCAAATTGGTTTATAAATGACGAAGTTACAAGGTGACAAACATAAAAAATACAATTGAGTTGAGAACGATTTCTTTTTTAGGGTATTTCATAGGGGTCTACTTCGAATGGAATATTATTTGTATGTAGTTATAGTGAAATGATATCCATTATTTACACATTTCATTTAATTTTCAAGGGTATTTCATTTGGGATGAGTATATTGTTTGTTTATTTGGTACCAAATATTAATTCTTTTTAGAAGAATAAGAATATCTTTATTTCCTTGAACAAAATTAGCCTATGATACAATATAGCTATGACCCCATACTAGGCAAAGCCTGTCTCGTGGAAGTCAAAGCAAGTAATTTTACAGTTATGGTGCGGCGAACAGGGTTAATCTAATTATATAAT